GCACAGGCGCCTCACAAGAAGACTCTGGTACACCCATCTGGCGCTCACTGTCTGACTCACTGCTGCTGCCCTCGTCACATTCCGAGTCATCTGGGCTTGGGACAGGAGAAGGTTCAAGTAGCTTTAGCCAACATGAGCTGCCATACATCTTGATCTTTCCCGATTTGTCCTCAGCCAGAGCCTTCTCCTCAACGCGCTCCAAGTCAGTACGCAGCCTGGCAACTGCCTCAGGATTGACGAATCTGCGGTTTGTAGGCCTGGGGTCATAAAACGGGATGCTCTTTTTCTTTTCTACAAGATCTCTGCCTGAATACGTGTCCTTCTTCAGGTGGACTTCCGTTACTCTGCTGGCCTTGACGCGTGCTGCTCGGGGCTGATTCCATTGCATCAGTTTCTCAGTACACGTTTTGGCTGCCTCTTCACGCAGGCCAAGCCTTACAAAGTCCTCCAATGCATATAATAGGCCCGCTATGTGGTTACAGGAACCAGCTAACCCAGCAGGGCATGTGCAATAGGCAGTGAGAACCGTAGGGACATGTGACACACCGCCAGCAGTGCAGCATATCCGAACGTTGTATTTCCTGTCCTTCCGGAAAGAGGGCAGGACGACGCAGCGGACAAAACAGAATTGTGGAAAGACAGGCAGTGAATTGAACTGGATCTTCTGGATGTGGCCTGACTTGAAGAACCTGAACCCTTTGTCTATTCCACGGAACGAGCTGTACTTGGCTGTGCCGGAATCACCAACCTCCTCGTCATCCTCCCCATCATCATCCTCCCATTCGTCATCAACTTCAGCAGCGAGAGCACTATCAGCAGCGGCAGCACTATCAGCAGCGACAGCACTATCAGCAGCGACGGCACTATCAGCAGCTACACCACTATCAGCAGCGACAGCACTATCAGCAGCGACAGCACTATCAGCAGCTACACCACTATCAGCAGCGACAGCACTATCAGCAGCGACAGCACTATCAGCAGAATCACCATGATCACTGGCATGTGAAGTAGCAGGAATAGCAGCAGTGTCGTCACCTCTTGCAATCTCGTGCCCACTGATGACTTCCTGGACCGTCCGCTCTGTGAAATGCACATACAGGGTTCGGAATGAGAATGATGGCAGCTGACTTAGATTATCCTTCCATCCCTCGGTGGGGAACGGGGGACACTTCTTAGATTGGGGTGCACGACACCTGCGGACTTCAGACGCTCAGCTTTAGCAGCAATGTTTACACCACCATCAGGGTCAACAATTTCATGTGCCAAGCCACCACGTATGTAGTCTTCAACTCTGTTGAACACAAAGAACAACACCCAAACAACGAAATAAATTTCAAAATTGAAAACATTGACAACCGAAAAAGGAAAATAATGATTATGGGAGGATATGTGGGATAATTCCTAACTAAAGGCGAAGTGACGTAAAACCCAAACAATGTTACTTCCCGGTTCTACTCACTACATGTATTACCATACCGTCTTGCAATTAGGTCTAAAGAAAAATCCCAGCACAAATCTCACCTTTTCAGCAATTCAGGTTTCGTTCCCGATCGACGAGCATTACGGCAAGCTAGCCAACGCTTCAATTCTTTCACGGAAAGTTGACTTGCCAAGCGTTGAGAGCCATCAGGATTCCGACCTAACGATGCTCCAGGCACATCGTCCTCGGAGAGCTTCACAGCCTGCGCCTCCATCTCCGATAAACAAAATACTACGAAAAGTGTTCCTTGCAGAAGCAGCTGACACGGCCTAGATTTGCTTCTGCCCACAACTCGGCATTTTCCAGGCTGGTCGCGTACGCATGACATCATTACGCAATGGGCCTATGGTTGTGGAACAATTTCTCACAGGTTTGCCGCCAACTTTTGCCTGCCAGGTCCGGATGAGCTTGATCGGCCAAACAGCATCGCTAAGCAACTGCATCGAGCGTGTACGTATATTGCGTCTAGCGGAACGAGACTCCGCAGCAAATAAGCCCAGGAATGTCGCTGCAGCTACAGGCATGGTATCGGGCCGGTCATCGGGCCGGTCCTCAGGCAAGTCTGTTCTGTGCTACAATTGTGAGGAGGCTGGGCATGTCAAGAGGAATTGCCCAAAACTGAGGAAGGGAACGTTGAAGTGTTTCATTTGTGATGAGCCGGGTCACATAAGAGAGAACTGCCCTGAGTGGCGAGAATTTCAAAGAAGCCGAAGCGCAAAGGGAAAGGTTGCTGCGGTGAATTCGGAGTCGAGCTCCACGCACAAGTGTCCATACACTACTAGTAACAGAGCTGACGACCAGGGCGGGTAATTTGTTGCCGTCAGCGTCTTCTTGCGTCCTCTCCGCATCCTCCGCAGTGGTGTGGCGAGCCCTCGGATCAACCCCCAGCTAAAAACAATGCAGTGGCGTTCGGCAAAGCAAGTGGACTCCTGGATGAGAAAGGAAACAGGTCACACTCGCAGAAATTTCTTCCTGCGCGGTGTATCGCTGGAAGCGTGAATTTGTCCTTGGCCGTGTTGTTTGGACCTGAGTGGCCAGTCGTCGTGCGGCGATGGTGTAGTGTTATTAGCTTGCTGTGCACACTCCTCGTCGCTCGTGAAAGTACGTCTTGTGGAGCCCTTGTGGGACGTTCGGTGCCCACCCTCCAGCTCAAGATTGTGTTTTCCTGATTCACGAAGGCCGAAGCAGCACGCGTACAGACGTTTGTTGAACAGAACATCATGTTCATATTATTTTTTATATTGTTCCTTTTTCAGTCGTTGCATTTTATAGTGGACCTGCAGCAGACTGTTCATCTGGTTTGTGATATTTCTTTCCTCTGTTGGTGAGTTCTTTTCCATCAATATGGCAGCTTGTTTTGATTTCCTTTTTTTTCAATACATTCTGCTGTACCGTTCCTGTTTTGTTTTGCGCCACTGCCCCTCACCTTGCGCTCAGTTCTCTGAGTGGAGGGCGGCGTGACCCCAAGGGGTAGTTGATTGATAGTAGTAGTAGTAGTAGTAGTAGTAGTAGTAGTAGTAGTAGTAGTAGTAGTGTGTGTATGTGTGTGTATGTATGTGTGTGTGTGTGTGTGTGTGTGTGTGTGTGTGTGTGTGTGTGTGTGTGTGTGTGTGGGTGTGTGCACTGCCACACCAGTGACCGCTGTTTGCGGAGCAAAGCGGGGCACCGCCGGCACAACTGCGACTGCAGAACATGCAGCTCTGGCTCCGAGCGCCGCACCATCCCAGGCCCGACCTGCTCTCGGAAGTTCACACGTCCCCAGTACCTGGCTCAACACAAGTGCAAGAAGTAACTTTGCCCTCCTTGCCTCTTTGAGGCACTGCATCACCTGTATTGATTTTCCAAAGGCAAATAGATGCCAATCACGGCAATCTCAAGGGTGAAAAATGCATGTACTGTAAGACCAGATATTTTAACGTCAATTAAAGTTAACGATCTCCGGATTTTCGTGAGTTAACGAGGTGAAATTCTAACGAATTCTGTCTCAAAACCGGCAAATGACTGTACATGTACATATCGTTTGGCACACAACGACATTAATGTTAAAGGGGAAGTATACCCTAAAATCAAATTTTCACCAGATGTAGTCTTCTGGGTGCTGAGTCGAATGGTCTTGGTCCGAGGAAGCTGCGACGCTCCCTTCCTTCTTTTTTCCCAATTGAACCCGCTCACTTCCACCGAAACTGGGTGACTGCGCCCTACTAGATGGGGATTTGTATGCAAAATGTCACTAAAAGTGCTATGTCGTTCTTATAAAAGCACGGATGACCGCGATTGGCCCATATGTTGTAGTCTTTTGGACGCTGAGTCGACTGGTTTTGGTCCGAAAAGGCTGCGATGCAGCGTTCCTCATTTATTCCCAATCGAACATGGTTGAACAAGCGGTCACGTGCTCCTGGGTGCCCAAATCACCTGGTCACCGCGCCAGCAGGCGACAACTAACGTGTTACTTTCACACCAAGGTTCAACTCGAGTTCAACTCGAGTGACAGGACTGCACCCAAAAAAGGTCAAACAGGCTAGTAAGTTGTACCCTGCAGGCACGGTGACCATGGTGACCAGGTGACTGGTGTACGCAGGAGCACATGACCGCTTGTTGAACCATGTTCGATTGGGAACAAAGGAGGAACGCTGCATCGCAGCCTTTTCGGACCAAAACCAGTCGACTCAGCGTCCAAAAGACTACAACATATGGGCCAATCGCGGTCATCCATGCTTTTATAAGAACGAAATGGCGCTTTTAGTGACATTTTGCATACAAATCCCCATCTAGTAGGGCGCAGTCACCCAGTTTCGGTGGAAGTGCGCGAGTTCGATTGGGAATAAAGGAGGAAGGGAGCGTCTCAGCTTCCTCGGACCAAGACCATTCGACTCAGCACCCCGAAGACTACAACTGGTGAAAATTTGATTTTAGGGTATACTTCCCCTTTAACGATTCTTTCAAATTTGTTAACTCGTTAGAATTAAATGTTCGTTAAGATTACTGATCTTACAGTACATGTACCGTAAAATCCCGCCAGAGCGCCCCGTCTCTACAAACCCCTACTCAGTAGCTGTTTGTTTTTGTCCACATAATTATTTATTTTACGAGTTGGGTTTGTGAATACCGTAAAATCCCGCCAGAGCGCCCCGTCTCTCCAATCCGCCCCTCCCTGACTTCTTGTCAGGGACGTGATTGATTGTATCCTCGTATGACTCTGTCGCAGTCTGTGATGCCGTACTGCACTGCAGACGCGTGCTCGACCCCGTTGGAAATGTACGCAACAGTGCCCACCCTCCTGACTAGGAATCGCACAAACGCTGCGTTTTGTCGGGTCTGTTCGACTCCTGGCTCTTGACCTTTGGTCGGTGTACGAGATGCACGAACAGTTTTCGTAGGGTGAGTACTTTTCATGTAGCACTGAATGCGGCAAGTAGGACTCGCCCATCCGCCCCTCCCCACCTGAAGCGTCGAGGAGGTAGGGGCGCTCTGGCGGGATTTTACGGTAATACTGGAAATGATCATAAGCAATGCTACTGACCTGGTGCTTGATATCGTACTGATCTTTGCCCTCCTCCATCATTTGAGTGAGCTTTGCCGTTAGCTGCACAAGCTCCTTCTCGTAAGACTCGACATCTTTGGCACAGCTGCACACAACACAACCGCGCATACGCACAGGTACCGTATGATGACCAACACGATGCAGGAGCGTGACACACGGTACGACCAGCACGACCATGCTCGTACCACCTTTCGTCCAGATTGGTGCGCCCAATTCACCAAAAAAAGCACTAAAAGAGTGCTAAAACGTGCGCTGTTGGCTGAAAGATCCGATCCCCCCCCCCCCCCCCTCAAGGGGATGCCCCCCGACCCTGGTGGTACCACTCTCCACTGCCCTGTGACACCCCTGCGGCATGTCTAAATTCACAGTACATGTACATGTTTACTCGTCCCCGGGGGAAAATCGTGGACGGTTTTCTGAGAACATTTTTCAGTAAATGCGGACTAGAAAATATGCGAAAAGTGCGGGGTGAAATCAAGGGATTTGCGGCAAAAATGCGGCCCACTGCGGTGAAATCTGACTATTTGAGGTAGTCAACACACAGAAAATCATGCTGATATTCATATCGCAGCACTCGACCTATATAGCCGTATACAGCAGTGGCTATCAAGAGTACACATATTACTACCCCCTCCCCCCGATGCATGATAATTCCTTGCCGCCTGGACTGACTTTGTGACTTTTCTCACATCTCCCACCAGGTTGGGAACCCTAGAGTAGCGAGGTCAGACGCGTGACCAGTTCACGGACTTCGCTTGTCGCGCTTGGCCCATCCCTGGCCCATTGAAAATCGATGATGTAATGGCACATAGGTTTTTACTCGATTTTTCGATTTTTACGGGAGGCATCAAAACTGACCTGCGTTTGAATTTCGCTTGTGCAGTCTCCTTGCTCTTTTTGGCCGATTTCAAGTTTCTAGTCCTTTGGTAAGGATATGGAGCAATGCCTCCACCCGTTCGCGCGGCGTCCAGACGTTTCTCTGTCGACGCGCTGTCTCTCGCTTTTTGCCAATATTCGAGGGCGGGTTTCGGTCCTTGCGCCTCTTGTTACGCCTTAGGTTGTTGCTGCATCGTGTTCAGCGCCCCCTAATCCTTCGGACTACCAAGTTTCATTGGCGTAACAAGAGGCGCACCGACGTTATGGCTCCCGACTGGTGTCACTGTCCAGCAAGGAGGATTGCTTTGGGAAGGCATGTGCACCAATCTAAAAAGCAACAGAAGCAAGCGAATCGCCATCAATCCGATTAAACTTCGCTTGCGTCTGGTGTGCAGCATTTTGTATCTATTCAGAAGCTTGTTGGTGATGAAGGTAAGGAGATGGCTACTTCAGTCCCGGTCCCAGGTACTGTTTCGGAAAGCTATGTCTTTCTTGCAAAGTTTTGTCCAATTGTATGCATCATTTCAGAAATGGAAACTATTTCCAAATTTCCAATGCTGTCAGTGTTACTCAATCAAGGCAACACTACAAATAGTTGTCAGCCAAACATAACCTGTGTGAGAGAGAAAGTGAGGAACGTTCACTTTCACACAGACCATGTCTCTAACAAAGTCTCTCTACTGTACTACTCCAGAACAAACAATACGTTCGAGCACAATTATGTTTTCTAATTCCTGATCGTCTGCAGAAACTTGTCTTGAGAAAGCGCTTCTTCCGACATCATCCATCAACAGCAGCCACCGCTCCCGTTGCCACCAACTCGTCATTGGATCCCAAATATCTTACCATCACCGGTTCACAGCAAAAAGTACATGCACTGGCGATCCTTGAAGACAATTGCACATTTCCCTTCTCTGCACTGCAGAGGAACAAACATTTTCTCTTCAGAAAGTAATAGTTTTCGGCTCGAGTGCATGCTGCACGCAGCGGTGCCGCTAGCCCCTAGCATAGCGAAGTACACGCACGTGACACGCGAGATTACATCATGCACTCTCCGTCGCGACTTGGGACCCGAGTGCCGGGTGCCATTTTTCGAGCTCCCACGCGTACATTCGTCGCGACAAAAAAATCACGTAGTCGGGCTCCTTTCAACACCAATAACTCTCTTCCAGTTGCTCTAACCCAGCCCAAATTTTAGATTTGAACGCCTGAAGCTCTAAGCTTTCCGTAGATACCCAATTCGATAGGGTTTTCCAAAATTTAATTTTCGCCTGACCTCGCTACCTAGAGAGATGCAGAAGCCTGACTGGCTGGCTCCTTGCCGCGCACTGCATGCTATGCTACTGTCTCTACTAGCGAGGTCAGGCGAAAATTAAATTTTGGAAAACCCTATCGAATTGGGTATCTACGGAAAGCTTAGAGCTTCAGGCGTTCAAATCTAAAATTTGGGCTGGGTTAGAGCAACTGGAAGAGAGTTATGGGTGTTGAAAGGAGCCCGACTACGTGATTTTTTTGTCGCGACGAATGTACGCGTGGGAGCTCGAAAAATGGCACCCGGCACTCGGGTCCCAAGTCGCGACGGAGAGTGCATGATGTAATCTCGCGTGTCACGTGCGTGTACTTCGCTATGCTAGCGGCTAGCGGCACCGCTGCGTGCAGCACTCGAGCCGAGAACTATTACTTTCTGAAGAGAAAATGTTTGTTCCTCTGCAGAGAAGGGAAATGTGCAATTGTCTTCAAGGATCGCCAGTGCATGTACTATTTGCTGTGAACCGGTGATGGTAAGATATTTGGGATCCAATGACGAGTTGGTGGCAACGGGAGCGCTGGCTGCTGTTGATGGATGATGTCGGAAGAAGCGCTTTCTCAAGACAAGTTTCTGCAGACGATCAGGAATTTGAAAACACAATTGTGCTCGAACGTATTGTTTGTTCTGGAGTAGTACAGTAGAGAGACTTTGTTAGAGACATGGTCTGTGTGAAAGTGAACGTTCCTCACTTTCTCTCTCACACAGGTTATGTTTTGGCTGACAACTATTTGTAGTGTTGCCTTGATTGAGTAACACTGACAGCATTGGAAATTTGGAAATAGTTTCCATTTCTGAAATGATGCATACAATTGGACAAAACTTTGTAAGAAAGACATAGCTTTCCGAAACAGTACCTGGGACCGGGACTGAAGTAGCCATCTCCTTACCTTCATCACCAACAAGCTTCTGAATAGATACAAAATGCTGCACACCAGACGCAAGCGAAGTTTAATCGGATTGATGGCGATTCGCTTGCTTCTGTTGCTTTTTAGATTGGTGCACATGCCTTCCCAAAGCAATCCTCCTTGCTGGACAGTGACACCAGTCGGGAGCCATAACGTCGGTGCGCCTCTTGTTACGCCAATGAAACTTGGTAGTCCGAAGGATTAGGGGGCGCTGAACACGATGCAGCAACAACCTAAGGCGTAACAAGAGGCGCAAGGACCGAAACCCGCCCTCGAATATTGGCAAAAAGCGAGAGACAGCGCGTCGACAGAGAAACGTCTGGACGCCGCGCGAACGGGTGGAGGCATTGCTCCATATCCTTACCAAAGGACTAGAAACTTGAAATCGCCCAAAAAGAGCAAGGAGACTGCACAAGCGAAGTTCAAACGCAGGTCAGTTTTGATGCCTCCCGTAAAAATCGAAAAATCGAGTAAAAACCTATGTGCCATGACATCATCGATTTTCAATGGGCCGGGGATGGTCCAAGCGCGACAAGCGAAGTCCGTGAACTGGTCACGCGTCTGACCTCGCTATCTCTACACGGACATGTACAGCAGCTTTCAGTGCCCCAATCGTGCATTTTCGGGAATATCACGGTGATCTTGTCAAAAACACTGTGCTTTACGAAACATTATGTAAATCGTGGATTTCGTGCGCGCGGCCGTGGGATTGAGATTTTCCAATGGGATTGTAAAGTTTACGCTTGTATGCACCAGTAGATCATGCTTAATGCCCAGTACATGTTTACCCCCGTATGCATCAGTGCCTGGGCTTGTCAAGTCCAGCACAAGACTGCTTGTCTTGTGCCTGCTCATTTTCCAACCCAAGTCCATGAAATAAAACATAGAAAATTAGGTATGTATTAAGACTCGGATTTAATTTCAACTACGTTACTACTGCAAATCAACGTCAACTGTCAGTGAATCAATGACACGGTGCATCTGTCTCTACTGGGTTTTCACCTTGCCCAACGAAACATGGTATGACGAATGTACAGTGTCTTGTGGTCATGAAATAGAAAAAAATCTTTTGAGAGAAGATAGGGCTAGACGAAGGTAACAACCCTTCATGTTTGAAACACAATAGCAGATGCAGAGCATTCACTCAGCCAGCATCTCCGTTTCCGTCCATGTTGTCTTATAGTCACTCAGTACATCGTCTCAAATAGATCCTCTAATCGAGTCCTTCGTGGGGATCGATAGATGACTCGTGTATAATTTTTGAATTTTCGGATCGTCAGTGGAAATGAAGAAAGGAGAATATGGAGCAGAAACTCACCGCTTCGTGATTCCAGTTTGTCTGGTCAGCGCCTTGAGACGAGGGTCCTTCTCCATTGCTAAATTATACGGTTTCGAAACACAAAACTGGCTGGCTCTCCTCGAAACGGGTTCGTTCTCTTCCTAGGCAGCTCCACGAGGTTGCTGTTTTTGTTGCTGTTTTTTGACTTTTATCTGATGCCGCCAAAACTTTTTGATGCATTGAGCAATGATTCCCATGAGCATACATGAGTCATTCTACGTCAACAAGTAATCACGATGACATCATAAAGCTTACTCTGCATTTTTGCACGCATGCACACAAGTTGTCATCGCCGTTGCCAGGTCTACCATGGTCTACACTACAGACAGCACTCGCGAATACTCAACTAACTACTTAGTAACTAAGACAGTAAGTTCTCAAGCCTTCAAGGCTCGGGAGTCGGGGGGGGGGGGGGGGGGGGGGGGGGGCGGGGGTGAGTCGAGCACGACTCGGCAGATTACAGTCTGTGCACCACACATGGTGCACCAGACTCAACCCCCCCTAGCCCTGGCCTAGGCGCTGCCCTTTGCCAAGTGACCATGGTGACAGACTCAGCCTGTGTCCCTGCAGGCTTGGTCACACACACATGACACAGTCACAGCAGAGTATGCAGTGAGTATCGGATGGTCTGCTTTCGGAGCACAAACCCGTTTCGAGGAGAGGCACCCCGGAGTCTCCGCTCCAGTCCTGATAGTGATAAAGTAATGTCACATGCATACTAGCATGTACCGGTATACCATGGAAAACAGTCATGGAGTTTGCTCATCAGTCATCATAGTCATTGTGACAGAACTACTCGGAAAACTACCTAAGCAGCCATGCAATACCAACAGTAGTCCGTAAATATGGACACATCATCGGCAGGGTATGAGTGCCGAGATTCCGTTCAACTATGGCACATCAGAGTAACACGTCACAGTGTGGCGCAATATGCCGTAGTGTACCGGGTGCATGAACCAGTGCAAAGGACACTGAGTTCCGTATTTCCCCACGATAGTACATGTACGCAGATAGAAGATCATCGGGACATGCACTGTACTGCGCGGTATACTCGCATGCTGCAGCACGAAGAAACCTTCGCCAATAGACGTACAGATAAAGCCTATAGTCGTTGTACTGTCGGGCGCCAAAGAACGAGCACATCATCATCATCGGCTAGGATTTCACCAAGCACAGCATACCGGTATACATGTAACGTTACACACGTGGCTGTGGTGACTCAGCTCAGTGTGCGTAGACTCTAGTAAGCTATATGAAGCAATTCATTAGGCTAGGCTACAATACTGCCCCCCCCCCCCCCCCCCATTCGGCAATACATGTGTACAGTCATGTACATGGTGTGCACTAAGGCCAGTAAGGGTAAGAGACAAAGTGGATTAACGTGACTGCATTATGACAATATGAGTACATGTACACAAGATAACCCAACACATGCTGCAGGATTACTGGACAACACAGTCCACACGTACACTCCATTCTCCAATCACGGTTGGAGATCAAAACTCGCAAGTAAACCAGGTGTCGCACTCATACACAGCGGGTGTGACTTGGCGACACTTCAGTTGACAGCCGCAGTCGCCAGTCGGCCGGTGCACTGGCGGCTTCAGAAAGTGTCCAAATGCAATTTGGTCAAAGGAAGATTTCGGAAATGTGTTTTGCAAACTTGATAGAAATTGTAAATAGTCTTCTCTATAAAATACTTTGATAAAGCGACATTGTGTTCTATTTCGATTAGAAGTTTCACAAAAGAAAAGAAAGAGGACTCTACATTTTTTTCACACTCCCTAAATTGAGGCACATCCTAGGCTAATCTTATAACAAAGCAGATCGTTATCCTGATGCACCAGACAGTAAACAAGTCTAGGGTGCACTGATGATTGGTGAAGGTTTCATTGGAGAAAGACAAACCAGCAGACATAGATTATAAATCATGGCATCGGTGACAGCGAGCCAGCCTCACAAAGAACAAAGGTAAGAACAGGCTGGCAAGGGGAAGAGCATGCGCTTGGTGTTTTGTACAATGTATTTGGATCACAGAGAACATCTTACATGAATACTTCCAGACTCTAGTAGGTGTCAATCGATCACATTGTAGTCCATCGCGTGTTGTTGACACTCGGAGTCTTCCTGGTGCATGGAAAGCTGTGCAAGACAGCTTCTAGGAATGAGGGTAGGGTTTGTCACACTGAGTGAGCTCATTACACGTACACTTCGACGGGCAGCTAGCAATGTCGCGAGAGAGCAAGTGCTGGTTAGCCGCCGCATACGCGTTCGTAAACTGCACCGACTTCGGGTCCATGGCCGACTGGTAGTTCCAGAACGACCCGGCTGCCACTATGCCCCGCGGCCATATCATGGCGGTGACAGAGGCTGCGAATGCACTGTCCTGCCTGCGGTCATACATCCACGATGCCACCGGTTTGGAAGAGTTGATATAACACTGTGTTATGTAGCAGTAGTTATCAGACCACATGGAGAACTCACCGCCCAGCAGCAAGTGAAGGTTGCTCTCGGTCACCTTAGCACTGATGTCGGTCCACAGGTTCGTGTAGGGTAGCGTGGCGTGATTGACATAGAAGTGTGACCCGCTGCTTTCAATGGTGAAGAAGCCTTGAGGCGTTGTTTCACTAGCATCATGACGTGACCAGGTGTCGATGATGGTCTTCGGGGTGGCAGCCTTGGATCTGTGCACATTCAGGCCATGACAGAGCGCGTGGGCGTATGCAAACATGCACACAATAAAGCGCTCATGCGCATGTGCACACATGCATGCACAGACACACAGACACACAGACACCTTGACCTTTGACCTTTGACGCCCATCGCCGGAGGCGATGATAGCAATGCTACGGCAGAAGCCATAGCAACTTGTGCTGGGATTACACCATTCAACAGCTTGCAAGGCTGAAGAATTGACCGTCACTATTCAGCCTGGTCTACACCATACAGCTATTTGGAGTGACATTTTCTGGCCAGTGAATCCCTTTTTTTGGTCTTTTTCATTTTTTTTCTTTTTTTTCTTCTTTTTTTCCCGCACACACATCACACCACATACTCCGGCATGCACTGGCTGTTGGTAACCACCCAGGAGAATGAAAGAAAAGTCAGGAAGAGTCTGAGAAAGAGAAGAAAGACGTGTGTGACCATAATCGTCGGGAATCGAACCCGCAATCTATCGATTGGAAATCGCTGCACATACCACTGCACCATATGGGACACACACAGACACACACACACACACACACACACCTTTGACATTTGATGGCCATCGCCAGAGGTGATGATAGCGATGCTACAGCAGAAGCCATAGAAACTTGTGCTAGGATTGCACCATTCAACAGCTCAGCAAGTTGCAAGGTTTGAAGAAATGACCGCTACTATTCAGCATGGTCTACACCGCACAGCTATTAGAAGTGGCTTTTTCTGGCCAGTGAATCCCTACTTTTTGGTCTTATTTTTTTTTCCTGCACACACATCACACCACATACTTCGGCATGCTGTTGGTAACCACCCAGGAGAATGAAAGAAAAGCCAGGAGGAAAAACCATATTTTGACTTCTGGGTATATGTACATAAACATAAAAAAATTGCAATTTCATGTGGCCTCTAATGTGGCCTCATGTGGCCTTTTAATTTCCTAAACATAAACAAGTAAACTTATAACGGAGCCACGTATCGATTAGGTGCAGAATTAAATCTCTGCTTTGTGGGCTCAGACCAGCATATGTTCAGGCGTTTTAAGCAGCTCTTCAACGGTGGGTGTAGATAGATCAGATCTACCAAGCACCGGAGGCGAAAAGCCAAAATCCTACCTGCGGCATCTATGCTACCCTTGTGCCAGGTCACACATTTCTAATTGACTGTCACGGAGTTGCAGTACGTATTACATGCCCAAACTCAATCTGCACACACACACATCCAACCAGTTATCTACAGTCGACCTACCCTTATAACGATATTTGCGTCAGACCAAGAAATATTGTTATAAGGGTAATATTGTTATAGGGGTAACTGGTTCATTTCATACACATACGTCATAATGCATGGATTTTGTTCATTTTTTACACTCTTCATAGCATAAAAAACTAGTGTTTAAACCGAACACGGATTCTTCGAACGAATAATCTATCGAATAATTTCGCCCTCCATCGAACGAATAATCTATATTCTATCATACGCATGATGGCATTTTTCAGCACTTTTTAAGTAGTTTTATAAAAAATTTTTTGCTGATTATCGGATTTTGTTATGTGGAGGTGCAAAACCGGTTAACCTGTACCGCCAAGAGTACATGTATATAACCCCCCCCCCCCCCCCAGAGTGTGCAACGCCTGATCCAGCTCTGCATAGGGTCTTGGTCGAAAGTGGTCAAAGACCGAAAATCACATTCACTGCATCCATGTTTCCCTCGTATGGAAAGAACAGAAGTATTACTAGATACCGATAGGAGATTAAAACTTGGAGGAGAGGAGATTGAGAAGAAATTCTACCAGCAGATCTACGCCGTGCAAATATCAGTAGGGTCAGCACTGAGCATAGATCGGGTTTTTTTCTTCTTTTCGATTTCTGATAATTCCTACGACTATTCGATTATTTGTTCATCCCACGAATATTCTAAATTATTCGATTATTCGTTTCAACACTATAAAAAACTGACGTACATGCACATTATGTACAGAGCAAGGTGACCACTGGTGCCCCCATTGCATTTCGTCATTTCCCAGCAACTTATCCAGTGAAGCTTGCCCTACCTAGATAGTGGCCTCCACATATTCCCTGCTAGATATTGTTATAAAATGGAAAATGTCAATTGGTCAGCCCATTTTAGATCGTTATAGAGGTAATATTGTTATAGAGGAAAGGCATTGTATACAAAAGTCAATGGAGTGATTCGGTTTGGCAGAAAGATATCGTTGTAAGGGTAGTATCGTTATAGAGGTTATCGTTATAAGGGTAGGTCGACTGTACATAGGAGCACTTACCCAAACAAAACCTCCTCCCAGCCGACCGCTGTTCGGCCGATAGTAGGCAAGAAGTTGAGAAGCTCCTGTTCCAGTGCAGTGGTGCCCGACAGTGGACACGTTGCTGTTGTTCCTGTACCAATTGGTACACATGTATACACATACATATACACACATACGGACACATACATACACACGCATGCACACACACTTGTACATGCAGTGTGCTATCAGGAGATGCACTTACCAAGTGACACATGAAAACTAGAATGTCCAGTTTCCGTATTGGATACAGCACAGTAAAATGTCCTGGATCAAGTAACACCACGGTCGAAGCAGAAGAACATTGGCAAGACCGGGTGACATGTACTTTTGGCGACTTGATTGGCGTATACAATGAAAGTCGTGCGATGCATCGTTCAGGTAATGATAAACACTTGCTGTATAGATGGTGCCCAACTTACAAATAGCAAAATAGGTTAATACTGTGCAAGTAACGGCTAGGCCGTACATTGGACGCGTTCGATTACACCCAGTTTCGTCCATTCTAGAATTAGTGATGGTGCATGCACCGTTCGATTACACAAATTCCGGCATCAGAACGGACGGAATCCCGTCGAGTCTGAAGAGAGAGAGAGAGAGAGAGAGAGAGAGAGAGAGAGAGGAATTTCTAATTCTCCTGCCAGAATTTACATACTCGACGTAGCACCTATGTACGGATTCAGCGAACTTTGGCCAATGTGTGTGAGAGGGTGTACGGGATCCCACGTGATCTCCTTATATGGTTTTATGTGATTCGGCACGATTAAAATGTGTGGTGAATTCCAGTCGTTCCTCTACATGGCTGCAATCCGTTCATTCTGGTTTTTCTAGAATGATAAAACTTGGATCCAGAATGTGTAATCCAACACGTCCGTTGTACCCATTTCAGCGCAAAATTTCGGAAACACTCACATGAGTAACATTGTATCAGTAGTATTAAGCACAGTACACTGTATTGCTCAATAAAATCCTGTCGTGCCTTGCGTTGCGCAGCCGTAGACCTGCGAACATTGGGCTGCGGAATGATGCACGGCGCAAACTTGATTGATGTGACTGGATTTCATTGAGCAGCACTGTACGCCATGACTGTATTCTGCAAGGATAAGCTTACCAGTCTCGTCACAGCCTATGTGGAAGAGCTCATCCTCAAACAGCGTGGCCATTTCCGTGAAGAGATGTTTGAGTGTGCTGATGGTGCGGTTCTTCTCGTCGTTGCACAGCTGCTTCCGGGTATCACTGCAGAACACCACGTCACCGCTTGCAGCCAGGGGCACAAACCCGTGACTGTGGCCAGGCACATCAAACTCAGGAATGACGCGAATGCCGCGATCCTTAGCGTACGCCACAAGCTCTACAATCTCCTCCTGTTTATAGAACCCGTTGGACGTTGCAGTCAACTGTGGGTATAGCACGCTTTCCACGGAGAAACGACAAAGATCCGACAAATGAAAATGAAGCACGTTCATCTTCATGTAACTCATGCTGTCCAACAGGGACATGACAAGTGCTGGCGGGAAGAATCTCCGGCCTGTGTCTATCATGAGACCCCTGTGTCCGTACACAGGAGCATCACTTATTGCTATGGTTGATGCCACCAGGGACCCATTGACAACAAGCTGGGAGAAGGTCTCCAGACCATACATTGCACCGTAGACTGTATCTGACTGCAGCTCAGCAATACTTGAAGCTATCGACACGCTCAGATTATACGCGTAGGACGTGGACGATGTAAGATTTTCGGTGCCCGAGTCGACAGTGATTTGCAGAGAAGCCACAGCAGCTGGTTCTTCTGGTGCAAAAGCATCCCGCTGAGCTGGGAATGTAACGATCCATTTTGTGTAACGTTCTATGGCTTGCTGCAGACGCTTTGACGTGCTGGTAGTCCGAATTTTGAACGCAGGAGATAGCGGCACTGCTGGGCCCGAAGCACTGGTTTTCTGCGGCAGTGGCCACACAAATATTTGATTATCTGAAATTTCAGCAGCTCTGTCACTATCTACACCTCCTGCTGTAGATCTACCAGCCTCGGAGAGCGCAATAACGCACATAGCCAACGTTACCGCGCAAGACACGGGGAAGGATGGCATGTTGCCTGAGTGAGAGTGACTACAAGCAGAGAAACAATAGTGCGCTATTTTTCTGAAAGGATTATTTCCTCAAGGATTTGTTTCTTCCCAAACCCAGATACTATTACTACTTGTAGAGATCTGCTGCAAACGCCCACTCCGATCCCCCGTCGACGTCGGTGTACAATCAATCCTCTTGACAGTCTGGCATGGTGATGCACACACAGCATGCCCGAGAAGTGCCTTCTGTACAAGGACACGGCGCAGCACTACAATCATCAGTACAACAGCGCGACGCACTTCTTATCTGCATTGCACGTCACGTGGCGCTAGGACAAGGAAGACAAAAGCTGGGGAAATCTGGCCCTTCTGGGCGCTTTTGTTCACGAAAGACAAGTACTGTACAGTCTGTAGTTGGGTGCCACTCTTCTTATTACTAGTATTTAGCTGAGGCTGTGAACCATGGTGAAGGAGCGGCGCGTCGTCGTAGAAGAGATGCAAAATACTATGCCAGTCACGAGTAACACGATTGCCGATTTGTTATTTCCTTTAGGTCGTCCTGTCGATTGTTGCTGTTGCTGCGTTTGTGCGCGATGGAGACTGACAGGTTACTGTCGAACAGGAGCGGAGAGTTTGCTAGACGCTCCTACTCGTCTACAGCATCGCATACAACCTCTCGCACGCACAGCGGCGGTGTAGATGGAGATCGAGATTCTCCCGACTGTGCTTCCGGCGATTTACCTTCAGCTCACGGACACCTGCCAGGACTATCGGTTAGATCCGGAAAGTCACGGAGGATTGCTGCTGCGACTAGTTCACGAGATCATGTAGCTGCAGGAGGAATCGACGAAATGGAGGATGTGGATAGTGGCTTGGATGATGACGCGGTGGAAGACTATCTCATGGTGCGGACGCTGCGTAGCATCGAAGGTAGCCGTGATTTCACCATCATCGAGGCCCTTGACAACAATGGCATCGGGCCGTTTCACTATCGCCTAGTCTTTGTGATCGGGCTGATATCGGTAGCAACGGGTTTGGGCTCGACCGGATTTGCCCTGTTTCCACCCGTGGCACGTTGTCACCTGCACTTATCGTCGCTAGAAGAAGCTGTCCTGACGAGCTCTGGGTTTCTAGGTGCAGCGTGTGGTGGTGTTGTAATGGGATACCTGGCGACAAGACTGGGACGCAGGCGGCAGTTAGTCATAATGATCGTGTGGATAGCGGTGGCTGGATTCGCCAGTGGCATTGTAGCCAACTATTACTGGCTACTGGCTTTACGATTCGTTGTCGGCCTGGGGCACGGTGGAACGGGACAGCGCGTGTCGATTCTGTTCGAGAACATACCGTCGCGTCACCGCATGCTGGGAGCGGCCGTTCTGACCTGTTGTTTCAACGTCGGCAACTTCCTGGAGGCGATGGCCATCAAGTTTCTGATCCCGACGGGGGCAAGTGTGGCGTGGCGGTATGTTCTGTTCACGGATGCCAGCATGTTTGCACTGTGTGTGGTGTTTCAGTGCTGGATAGCCGAGTCACCGTACTACCTGCTCAACATACGCGGTGATCGCGATGCAGCGCTGAAGCAGCTGCAGCGTGCGGCGCGCATGAACGGAAAGACGCTGCCCGCCGGCCGCCTGGTGTCCGAAGAGGAGAAGAGTGAACTGAGCCGCTTGCAGAAACGATGCACCTCCGCCACCAGTCAAAGCACCCTGCTAGGAGGCACACCTGAACGCTCATCTTCACCGGATCATTCGAGATCACCAAGGAGCGTGGGTAGTGATGGCGTTATCACACGTACTAACAACTGCCCCGAAGCATCTTCAGCACACAGCCTACATCCGGCAAGCCACACCAAGTCGCCAGCTGCTGCAGCGAGTCTAGCTGATTTTACTCGCAACAAGGAGCTGCGCAGGACAACTGCTCTGCTGGTCGTTTCCTGGGTAACACTGGCTGTTGCCATGGTTGGCTGTACGATAATGATTGAAGAGGTGCTGCAGGAGAGGCAGTCAACGCACGGAAAGTGCACCGGACATTTTGATGTGTTCCACGGTGGCAAGTGCGATCAACTATCATCGAGTGATTACACGCCCATTATCCTCATATTCCTTTCGGAATTCCTGGCACTCTTCACCACCTACTATTCCGCTAAGATCCTGGGTCGGCGTGTAGCGCTTACTGTGTCCTTTGTGATGTCAGGTATCTTCTTTGCACTGTTACTGATCTGCCCGGTTTCGCTTGGCGTTACAACGTTCCTTCTAGCCGGCTGCAGAATGTCAGTGACAACAGCGTGGAGTTTGATGATTATCTACACCGCCGAGGTGTACCCGACGTACATGCGGGGAATCGCCGTGGGCGTATCGCGAACACTGTACCGCGTTGGCTGCGTCATGGTGCCATTCATCTCGCAGGTGCTGCTGCGCAAGTCGACGTACGCCAGCAAGGGACTACACGCCGGTGTGTGTGCTCTGACAGGACTCATGCTCCTACTGTTGCCCATTGAAACCAAGAACAGGCATCTGGAGGAGCGGTGAAGAAATTATCTGAGACCGAGAAAGCACTACACAACCAATATGAATAGCACACAGCTTGTACTGGCTGGTGTTCAAGGTATGAAGTTATACTTCCACTGTGGTGGCTGAGACACTCTGTAGGAAATTGCAAAGAACTTGGTGATACATCTGAAAGGATTTTGTGAACACAGCAGAAAGTATGTGTCACTGCCTGTGTTGAAGGTCCATTGTATCATTATCACTAGCTGTCAACTAGAGCTGGTCATGTGAACTTACTAGAGTACTGCCGTTAGTAGGATTAGGTGAGGAACAGTAATATTTGTGAAAAAAAGATTTATGCAATTGTTGCTGCGAGAGGTCCCACGAAACGGCGTTTGAGAAGTCCGTGTTATATCGCACACAAGCCGGCTTGTAGGGTATGGCTGTTGAGTTTGGAAGTTTACACGTGCACTATCTACTGGTGAGGATGAATACCACGCTGTACGTAGTGTAGTCCACTAGCATACACTTTATGATCTATATTAGCCCAGCTACTGGAAGTAAAGACAGTAAGAGTCGCGATGGCAGATACTTTGCCAATATACCTGTTATAAACAATTTGAATCCCCCTCAAGATTTTACCTCCCATGTTTATGGGTAAACATGTTCTCAGCATTCTCTTACCACTAAGTGAGCTCTTTGCTTATTCACTAAAGCTATCAGAATAGTACTCGAGAACAAGTTTTCATGCATCCACGCAATTAACGCATGTGATGTCAATTGATCAAATATCGTTGCACCTAGCAGGGCCTAATGAGGCGCTGGTGGACAGCAACTTGGTCTGGCCATAGCCTGACCAATTGCACTGGCTGAGTGTGCTGGGACTGCACTTTTGTGTACAGTACTATAAAACGGCCACAGCATTACACGTTTCTCCCCATGCTTGGCACACCACTTGTGCACCGCGCAATCGCACATGCATTCGCCATGCTTTGCTCATCGCTGCCCGAGTCGTAACACGGGATGCAAGCAACTTGAGTACTGCAGACTAGGCACACTGCTCGTATGGCCATGAAAGTAGCATTCTGTAAAGCAGGTTATGTTTGCGACGAGACATGCTTGGGTTTTAGAATTTCATTTGGTTTGCGAAGTTCATAGGTGGCGATTTGATGCCTCTCCCAAAAATCGCATGCATTTGACGAGTTCACAAAGTTCAGAGTTTTCGATTCCGTGCCTCGCAAAAAATATTTTTTGTCGCACACCTTAACCCGTTTTACAATACTGTTAGGTACACTCCACCGGTACGCGGTACGTACTCAACAGTACAGATCCATGTTAGGTCCTGATTGTTTCACATTTCCTGCCGCAAATGAGTGCGGCACAGGTTGAAGATATCCCAAGCACACAGTGACACAGATTGACAGGAAGATCAAAATTAATAATCTTTTTTTCGGACAGTTTAAAATCCCAATTGCGGGCTACGCTGCAAAACAGAACGATAATAATTATTATCACAAAATAGTCATCCATAAACCAACTATTCCACCAGTTATGGTGAATGTCTCAAGCTTTCTAGTGTAGCGCCAATGCTGCTACATCTACTGGCATACAAATTCAAACAAGATCAGACATCACAGCATCTGGCCAGCATGTGCACATCACACGTCAAACACACTGCCAGAGAATGTCAGAGTGCACCGAACGAACGGATTGCTCCAGTTCGCAATCATGCGTAACTCTGTGTACAATGTACAGCAGTGCATCAACAGGAGAAGGAACACTCAACAAATGGCATACATGACTATTAGCGTGTGTATCTTGACTAGACTTTGTACAGTATTGTTCATAGTATCAAGTATGGTACATTGCATGTACACAGCACAGTTCAACATCTGCATACTCACATATACACAATGCACGTCAAACTACGGAGGCAAGTGGCGGTCTTGATCACACGAACGCACACAGCGGGAAGACCACGCACTGGCGCAGCTTAGTTGGCAATGCAGTCCACTGCTCATCTTCCACCCTCCGCCAGCCATCTCTGTGTTGTGTGCAGAATGTTCTGTGTCCAGTACTCATCACCGTCCACCAAACCTGAAGCAGGGTCATTATTCCACAGATGGCCGAAGCAGCAGCACGGCCATCACCACCACCAGCAGCAGCAATAACAATGCAGATGCAGTAGCAGCAGCAGCAGTAGCAACACCAGCACCAGCAGCAGCAGCAGCAGCAGCAGTGGCAGTAGCAACAAGAGCAGCAGTAGCAATAGCAGCAGCAGCAAACAGCAGCAGCAGCAAACAGCAGGAGCAGGAGCAGCAGCAGCACAGGACACATAACGTCAGTAGAGCAACATAAGAAGAAGTGAGTGACATAATGGTCCAGGAATGCTGCCACCATCCGCCCATTATTTAGCACTATGGTCCCTCACATCACAATGTCGACGTCATCATGATGTCATCGAAATGCTGTGCACCGAGTGCAGTTGAATGACATCATTCTGATCACATGACTAGCTCTACTAACCCACGATACAAGAGTATAGCATGCTAACAGACAGTACCCTGGCCTCACAGTACCTTTGACTGATTTCGAGAATAGTATCCAGAATTTAAAATTTTGAGCCAAGTACACTATTGCGCTAAGCGTGAAAAATCGGCAAGTAGGATACACTCATTCAAGGCAGTCAATATGTTGTCTATAGCACTGCAGTCATGTGGTATGCGCGGACAAGAACATTAAAATACATACACTCCCTTCCCCACAAGACACTGAGCACCACGCATCTTCGTTGTAACTAATGTTAGTCATTTCATGCCCTTATAGGCAATCATCAGACAACTGACTCCCAGGCAGGAGGACTCTTACACTCTGTACCTGAAAAACATTCTCTTAACCAGAATTCATAAGTTCCAGGTCAGACTTATCCAGCGCTGCTCATTTGATGGGGTGAGCAGCAGCATTCAGCCGCGTACAGGCTGGAGAGCGCAGATATGGTGTGTTGGTTGATGACAAATCTGTGCTCATTTTACTTGTATTACTATTATTACCTTGCAATTGCTGGCGCTGCTCTCCCATTCCTAGTTGCTCCATGAAGCCCTGGATAGCTCTCCAGTTGTCCAATTTCTGTACGGGTAGTCTTGGCCTGGCAACTAGGCGTGGTGCCTGCTTGCCAGACACGGTCTGCAACATCTGAGCGACTCGCAATCCACTCGCTAAGTCAGAAGTAAGGTTGGTGACCTGGTTGCTGTCTGGAAGATGAGAGTTAATCCAAGCCAGTAGACTCTGCAGTGAAAACGCACAAAGAGTAGGTTAGAATCCAGTGAGATCTGGGTTTACCGACTGCTCACAGAACCGGTTTTTCATGCAGGTGGTCAAGGAAACAGATTCAACTGCTACATAATCGGAATACTTGGTTCCAAAGAATAGTGGTCTAGAAAACAAAAACCTAAAATGAAGCCAGCATCAAAATATCCTAGAAAAGTCTCATTGTCAGTGGATAATAGTTGTGGACACAGTGAGAGTAAGGCCATCATTTTTTATATCTATGTTTCGCGTCGTCCGCACGCATACGTTTTGATTTTTTTCGGAAAAAATAAAAAAATCGACCTTGCACAGTGAGTGTACGATCGTGCGAGTCATCAGGTTGGACTGGTTGCATACGGCGAAGCTGAGATCCAGAAATGGCCCGAGGCCAGCGTTGGTAAATCGTTTGTTCGGCATCTGCGAGCAGTATTCTATGAGCTTACACCAGACCGCATCGATCGCCACAAGCTTAGAGGATACGTCGTTCCGGAGCTCTTTGCACCGCTGCTGAAGGCTGAGCACAATAACCCAGCGAAGCATGGGCACCAACAGTTGCCTCCTCCGTCCAAAGTGAATATTACTCATGCTGATAAACACATTTTGTGCCCCGATGGTCGTTTTTTCTTCGAATGTACAGTACACCATGTACAAGCTATTGTGCTCTGTGCAGTGCTATACACCTCTGAAGTCTGATGAGCCTTTTTATTGTTGTGCAACTTTTTATTTTTTTTCCACCTCTCGCATAGGATTCTGGAAGTTGAACTGACGCGAAACATAGATATAAATAAAGATGGTCTAATGCGATACGCTCAGGCTGCTCCATGAAAACCAGCCTACTGTAACGAACAATCTCACCCAACATCAGTGTACGCTATGCAAATGTTCCCATTACTACAGCTGGTCAGCATCTGTCAGAAAATAATCTATGAGTGCAGACTTCATTGAGCAGTACCGTGGTTGGATTAATAGATCAGAGAGATCATCGCACACTTCTTTTAAATAGTGATTCATCAATCATTTAACATTACATTACATTGATGATGATGAACTCATGAAAGCCACACCACCAGCAACAGGCATTGTCGAAAGCCATACCAGGGAAAGAAGTTGTTGACATTGCTACTGGTCATCGTAACACTGCACAGGCCTCAATATGTAGAGCTCATTGAAAGAAAACGTCTCTAACACCGTCTGCCCCGACAGTCAGAACGTGGGGGCGATTGTTTGTGGAAGTTGTGAGAAGAGCTAATGCCACACTGCATGTACTGATAACTAATTTCACTTACATCTCTGTTTCGCTGCAGTTGCCGATTCAGCTTCTCCCGGTAGTCTCTTGCATGTGACACACCACTCTGTACAGTCAAAGGTGAACACAATTGTACGGTACTGCAAGTCAACAAATATTCGGCTCATATTTATTTTCTGTTTTTTGGCCCGCCCGGGCATTTTCGGCCTAATTTTTTTTGCCGTCAACATTTGTTTACGAAGGCTCAGTGTGACAGTAGTGTATACAGTCAGCAGCAGTACAGGGTGAAATTTTAATGCGGCCGAAATGTGTTTTAGCCCTGGGAGGCCGAAATTTAAACGCGCCAAAAATGTTGTACTTTGAAGTAGACTCACAGTACCCGTGTGCACATAGGATCTGACATCTGTATCATTAAATTTTAGTGATAACAAAAATACACGTTTGTCATCAAGCGGAATATAAACAAATCGATGAAAGCGTGACACGCGAAGCACTCATTGGCATCGTGAAGTTTTCACAAGACCAACACCAAAGTTCGGCGATAGAGTCGCATGCGTGGCATCCATGGGGGCAGGGTTACAGCTCTTTGCACTACACGCTCTCACTGGAGGCTGAGACCTGCAGACCTGAAACTCATAGCAGACTTGCCATGGCATACGTGGGCATACATGTACATGTAACAGAGGCGTCGTAAGGTATTTTAGTGTGGTACGGTCAGCCATCTGAAGTACAATTTACTCGTGGGCGAGTGTTGGCTGAGCCCAAAAAATTATAAATTTAGATCCCAGATCAGTGTATTTTTTTTATTCACGGGGTACCTGGGGGCGAAAAGTGGTACGGTCAACACCGTAGTGACCGTACCGTGTTCGACGCCCCTGTGTACATAATTAACACTGCCCTGCTGAGGACCGACGGCCGGGAATGGCCGACCGGTTGAGAACCATACATTTGACCAGGCCATACCTGTATGTGACCGTGTTCCGATCGGACTTACAATTCCGCATATAGTGCACCAGCCTTCTAGCGCCTTGCGCAGCATTTGTGTGCGATAGTGATTGACAGCCTTGTGCTCGTTGCGCCGCTGTCCCATCTCAGTGTTACGATACTCTATCCATGCCATGAAACAGTTCAGCATCAACCCTGGATGCAAGACAGACCATGAACAATACACAGCTGTTGTAGAAATGTGAACATGTCTTATTATGATAAGAAGCTGAGAAGGAGAGAGGTGAATGCTATAGCTGGAATACGATATTGGGGAAGGAGAGGGCAGAGGGAAAGCAGAGCAAAGAGACAGAGAAAGAGAGAGTGTGTGTGTGCACGCGCGCGCTCGTGTGTTTGTGTGTGTGTGTGTGTGTGTGTGTGTGTGTGTGTGTGTGTGTGAGAGACAGAGAGAGAGAGTGTGTGTGTGTATGTGTGTGTGTGTGCGCACGAGTGAGTGAGTGAGAGAAAGAGGAGACAGGCGAGATACAAAGAAGATATTGGCTAACAAAAGAAGAAGGGAAAGTAGGTTTCAAATAATGATGAGACGTTTGCCACATCTGACCCGGCGCAAGCCGTATTTGTCCACTTCTAGTGTCTACAGCCAGCTACACTGCTAATAAGTTACATGATGGGCACGAGACCCCATCGGTTGCAGTTGCATTATACGAATGTACACATTGATACCTTTTTGACGACTTCTGACAATGGGCGCACTGTAGTACATTCTTTCATGATCGGTGATGCTCTCAAATCTAGGCTGCGCATTATACTCCGGATATGCCTTGGATTGCCAGAGCGTTGCTGAAGGGGTGGGGTGGGTGTGTGCATTATACTCCGGCAAATATGGTTGGTGCGCAGTGCCCTCAAGAGAAGTGGACAGTGAGCTTGGAGTAGGTAAGTAGGTAAGTGGCATATTCACAGAAACTTACGACGAGCTTTCTTTTCCATAAACGCATGCAGTCGAAGGATCTAGATAAAGAAGCAGAACACAACAAGTGCATATATAAACGGCTTTACATACATGACTATTTTGCTACGTGGTCGCCCTGACTAAATGCCGTGTGAAGTAATGTGTTGTTAGCTGAACACACTACTACAATGCACAGGACTGGTTGATAGAAGCCAACCAGGCGATGTGCATTTGCTAGTGCCAGCCACTGTTGAGTTCTAGACCAGTGAACACTGACCTGTGCATTCAATGATTGTCCCACAGCACAGCGTGTTAGTACACTCATACATCGGTCATGCAGAACCCCGAAGTTACGGGCACTTCGATCTACTGGGCACCCTTGGGGCGAATTTCAGTGGAAATATTACTACTCTTTTGTCACTTTTTGTGCAAAAGTGACGTCATATTCCATATCTATGGCCTTTCCCCATAAAAATGTACGTGATTCATAGTTACGGATATTTAGAAGTTACAGGGCAGTGCTTGGTCCTGGACAGCACGGATAAGCGAGGTACGAGTGTTTATCCATGAGGACAGATGTCATAATTATAGCATGATGTCATAATTATAGTATGATTGAACTTACCAGTAGGTTACGATCTCGAATGTGGTTCAGCCAAGCGTCCATGTAGCGTCTCAACACGGCCTTGCGGTACAATGCATCAATCAGTGCGCGAGACGGGCCCTTTGTTAGCTGCAATAGCAAGCACAGAAACCCAAACTCACGGTGGTCTCTTCGAAGCAGGTGAATGACATCTTCAAGTTGGCTTTCAATGTTAGCCAATACTCTCCCCCCCCCCCCCCCCCCGGAATTATGATCAGTGCGTTGGGATTTGGATGTGGCAAATGCGATCTCTGGTTGGTGGATCTGATCTATCCTCCCCCACCGTTTAGGAGCCGCATCTGATGCCTGATCATGGGCATACTTGCCAACCCCTGGCAAACAGTTTCCTTGACCCTGATGACGTTTTTCCTTGATTTTGCCCATTTTTCCTTGATTAACCCTTTGTGTACGGACTGTACAACTTTCGATACCCTGGGATCGAAACTTTTCAAAATTTCAATCGATCGTAAGTTACTAACTCACTCATTTCTGGGTTATTTCCCAAAACTAAAATATGTAGGTCGAAGAGAAAACTCCCAGCTGTCCATTGAAACAATCGCCAAGGCCGATGTGCCGTTCCAGAGCTACGAAGCTCGAAAGTTGAATCACGGCGAATGTCGCTCAATAGTCGCGTGCGCAGATTTGAATGAGGGATTTCCCCAAGCATTCTGGGCATGCAGTGACGTAGAAACACGTTCAAAATGGCAAACGGACTCATGGCAGTTTGTGAAATATTTTTTAAGTTGTTACAAGCAAGAAGAGGGAAATGGCTGATACAAGACTACTTCTGTCGGAAGACTACTTCTGTCGCTCAGCGTTCGCTGGCGTTGCAACTAAGATGCTGGGCTGCAGCGCCGGCGTTTTGACCTTCGTGGTGGCAAGTGTGGGCTCAGTGTGTTCCTCTTGCGACGAGCTTTCCAGGAAGCCCAAAATAGTAAAAATCCGCAAAAGGGGACCAAAGTTATGACTCGGAGAATGGTGGAATTTGAGGTGAGTCGAGGTCAAATTCAGTCTGCATACATTTTTCCGTACATGAAGGGTTAAATCATAATTGTGCAAAATATTGTATATGACATCACAGTGACGTCATCGTGACCACAAAACATTCGCAAATACAATCGTCGCCAAAAAAATCCGGCCAATGCTATGCTAGCTACAGTACAGGTAGCTGTACGTGGCCGCATGCACTGCCACTGCTAGTGCTAGGCATGCACTCGATACTCCGCAGTGCACAGTCTGTGCTGTGCTCGACTCGACTGCAGCAGGCAGAGTGCAGCGTGGACTGTTTTAGTTCAGTGCTGTGCTGGTAGACCCTCTACTGACTGTCAACATAGTAAATGCATGCATGCATGCGATTGCCACAGGTACCATGCCACTGTACATGTATCCATGGCAATGGCCGGATTTTGTTGGCGACGACTGTAGTACAGCACGTACGACAAAAACGTACTTTGTCATGCGCTGACTCAAAAGTTCTCGCTCGCTAGACCTTCGTTGTGGGCTCAGCACTGCGAGCGAGCGTCCAAAACATTGAAAATGAACAAAAAAAGTGCTGACGGACATTTTCGAAAATCCGGTAGATGTTATAACTTTTACTGTATGCCGGGACGAAAGCGAGTTTTCCGGGATTTTCCCGGAAATTCAGGTAGGGTTGGCAAGTATGCATGGTGTGGTGGCGTCCCACGTAAGCAGAAAGGCGGTTCTTGACCCGCTCTGTACGAGAACAAGTGCATTGTTGTTGGGATTCAACGTGAGAAAAGCACAATCAAGAGAGCTGGCAAGAGTTGGCAAACTTGTTTAAGTCCAGCCTGCTTACCTTTTCAACAGCTTGAGGTTTAGCTGGTAAGTGTCTCGGTGTGTCCATGCGTCTCAGGTGTGCTCCTCCCTGTGCCCTGCGCACAACACCGTCGATCGGACTCTTCACTATCTCACCGCGACTGTTACGTCCCTGCAGTGCTAGTTGCTGCTGGCGATGATTCTGTGAGAGACAGACGAGCAAAAGATAATAATCATTCACGGTTTGCCGCTGAAGAATGGACACGGTTGGAGAGCCAAGATTGTTTAGTAACTGGTGGTGTTTGTGGACATTATAGCGTAACTTGTAGTTTCTCGGTCTTTTTTTTCTTCACTATAAATTACAGTTTGCTTGAGGCTCAGTAAGACTGAGTGTTCAGCATCCATAGGAACACCACCACTATACGAATATCTATCCATAGGAACACCACCACTATACGAATATCTATCCATAGGAACACCACCACTATACGAATATCTATCCATAGGAACACCACCACTATACGAATATCTATCCATAGGAACACCACCACTATACGAATATCTATCCATAGGAACACCATCACTATACGAATATCTATCCATAGGAACACCACCACTATACGAATATCTATCCATAGGAACACCATCACTATACGAATATCTATCCATAGGAACACCACCACTATACGAATATCTATCCATAGGAACACCACCACTATACGAATATCTATCCATAGGAACACCACCACTATACGAATATCTATCCATAGGAACACCACCACTATACGAATATCTATCCATAGGAACACCATCACTATACGAATATCTATCCATAGGAACACCACCACTATACGAATATCTATCCATAGGAACACCACCACTATACGAATATCTATCCATAGGAACACCATCACTATACGAATATCTATCCATAGGAACACCACCACACTGCAAAGATCATAGGCGCAGACGCAGCTCCTAAAGCGATGGGAGGTGAGTAGATCAGCCCACCAGCAAAGTGGTCAAAGACCGAAAAATGCGAAAATCCCATTCGCTGCATCTATGTTTCCCTCGCGCCAGGACACGAGTTCCCAATTAAGAACAGTGAAGAGATTACGTAAAATACTTCACGACAATCTGCAGAATCTTTCAAAAGCCTTCCCACGCAACCATTGCTCTAGCTGTTCTGGCCCTCTGGCTTTTCTTGTCCGTTAGGTATGACATCCTGAGACTGCTGTAATGTAAGGGCGACTGTACTGTACAGACAAGTACAATGATGATGTCAAGGGAGACATCCAGGTCAGGGGCGTCGGACACGGTACGGTCACTACGGTATTGACCGTACCACTTTTTGGCTCAGGTACCCCGTGAAGCAATAAAATACACTGATCTGGACTCTAAATTTCCAAAATTTTCGGCTCAGCCACCCGTCCCTCACGAGTAACTTAGTGCTGACCGTACCACAGTAAAATACCTTCCGACATTGCCCCTGCAGGTGAACACTGGACTACATCATCCCCCCGGCTTGCCTGTGCATGCATATCCAGGTGGACTCTGGATCGCAGCATCCCCGGCTTGCCTGTGCATGCATATCCAGGTGGACTCTGGATCGCAGCATCCCCGGTTTGCCTGCGCAGGCCACATATCACAAACCCACACCGGGTTGCGCTAGTCATGAAGTGTCAGGATTTACACTCTAGCTTAGTAGTAATGCAGGGTGGTACGGTCAACCATATCAGGCATAATTTACTTGTTGGGAGGGGGTCACTCTGTTGAAAATTTCGAAAGGTTTGAGCTCAAATCAGTGCATTTTATTGATCCACGCGGTAACTGGGGCATAGAATGGTACGGTCAATACCGTAGTGACCGTTGCGTGTCAGGCGCCCCTGCCTACTCAGTTCTACAACACCATTGGACCATTGGACGCCCATCGCCGGAGGCGATGATAGCGATGCTACAGCAGAAGCCATAGCAACTTGTGCTGGGGTTGCACCATTCAACAGCTTGCAAGGCTGAAGAATTGGCTGCCACTATTCAGCCTGGTCTACACCACACAGCTATGAAGTGGCTTTTTCTGGCCAGTGAACCCCTGCTTTTTGGTCTTTTTATTTTTTATCCCGCACACACATCACACCACATACTCCGGCATGCCCTGGCTGTTGGTAACCACCCAGGAGAATGAAAGAAAAGTCAGGAAGAGTCTGAGAAAGAGAAGAAAGACGTGTGTGACCATAATCGTCGGGAATCGAACCCGCAACCTATCGATTGGAAATCGCTGCACATACCACTCCACCATATGGGACACACACAACACACGCACACACACACACACACACACACACACACACACACACACACACACACACACACACGCACACGCGCGAAGCAGATTACCTCAGACTTGCGTCGCTGTTCCTCCATAATCTGCTGCTGGATGAGCTCCTTTTCGGCGGCATCCTTCCTCTGCTGCTGTTCCCTTTCCGCCATCTCCTTCTCGATCATCGCAAGCAGTTCTTGGCGGACTTCCCTGAGTCTCTCTCTGCCAAGCTCATACAGTTCTGCCATTAGTTCTTCGTCTTCCGCCTCCTCCAACTCTGAAGCTTCGGTGATCGGGTCGAGGAAAACTTGCTCTTTCTGAGGATTGGTGAGCTCCGCAAGGTTTGGTATCATGGGCGGTGGAGGTGGTGGTATACCAGGATCACCACCGCCAGCAGCAGCAGCAGTGTCGTCACCTCCGGTGGTATCACCTGGCATGCCCGGGGGTACTGGAGGTGGAAATTGAAAGACTGGCGGCGGTAGGTTGGGAGGTGGAGGTGGCGGAGCGGTCCCACCGGCTGGTCTTGCAATTGATTGCTCTGTAGTGTGTAGTCCATAGGAAGAGAGAGAGAGATAGATAGATAGATAGAGAGAGAGAGAGAGAGAGAGAGAGAGAGAGAGAGAGAGGGAGAGAGAGAGAGAGAAAGAGAGAAAGAGAGAGTGAGAGAGAGAGAGAGAGAGAGGGAGAGAGAGAAAGAGAGAGTGAGAGAGAGAGAGAGAAAACCAAGGTAACAAGTGGTCAGCTATTGCACACACTCACGCACACATGCATGCATGCACACATGCACGCACACCCACGCACACACACACCTGCACACATACACACAAACACACACCCACACACACGCACACACACGCGTGTGCGCACACACACACATACACATACTGTGTTATGCCAGACAAGCCATCCACAAAAATACACGCCACCATCTTGGGTCTATAAAGCATTGTGTGTATGTGTGCACAAACTAGGAGGCAGCTCTTCTAAACAAGGGATACAAACTGGAATCAAGCAGGAACAACATGATGTAAATGTCATCTAAATTGGTAAATAACAACATGACTTTTGTCAACTTTACTTAGCTGGTGGGCTGTCTACTTATTTTCAGATCTAGGAAAGTACAACAGACTGACTACAGAACTGACCCGTTCCTAATTTGGCTATGAGTTGCGAGGCTGACATGTTCCGGGGCGCCAGTATCATCTGCATCAGTGAGTCGTGGATGTCGTCGGGCGGTGACAGGCGGTTCCTGGGACTCTGCAGCCATTCCCGTGCAGCTGATGGAGCACTGGGATTCTGTGCTAGAGCAAGCTCGACAGCTGCTAGCAGCTCTCCCGGAGAGTTACCCGGGAATTTCTCCTCACTCCAGCTACCGCGGACAGGTGACATTGGTTCCGCTAGATGCGGTGCACCAGGCACTGACATGAGCTCATCCTCAATTGCGGCTGCTGCTGCACCACCTCTGGCGGACGAACTGCTGGTTGCCATCAGGCCAGATTCGCCGGACGCCTTGAGCGCATCCTCCAGTGACGGGGGCCGGTGCTTGCCCCGTTCCGACTGCGATGGTGTTGTTGTTTTCTCCGCTGGTTCATGTCCGAAGCTCTCCTTGCGTTCCCGTTGTTCTGCGGCAGTGCTGACGTTCAGGGCTTCTTCCAGGCTGAGACGGCGAGATGCTGACTTCTTCCTCTCACCACCACTACCCAGAGCCATTCGCAATGCTTCATCCAGGTTTGCTTGGTGTGACTCACTCAGCGCTGCACTGTGTCCTGCACTCTCTTCACGGCTGCTCTTACGGCTGGCAGCCTTCTCTTCCACCTCGGCAATGAACATCGCCTCATCCACGCTGCTCTTGGGCGTCCGCATGGCGTACAGGCGGTTGATCTCCTCCTGCTCTGACGAATCGAGGGCTTTGAGTGCCTCGGCCAAGCGACTCTGCAGAGAAGACGGCATCGTGCCTGATGGTGATCGCAGGCCTAGTTCCTGTAGGTCCTGATCGTCATCGGCCTCTGACGAGTGACGACTCCGTGTAGACGCCATGCTTGCTATACCGGAAGTCATGTGATCGTCGCTGCTACGGCGCTCTGTCAGTTCGCTACTCGAACCGCCGTCACTTTTCAAATCGGAGAACGAGACGGAGCGGGACGGCCTTGGAGATGTGGATGTGGATCCGATGTTCAGAAGCGAGCTCATTGAGGTGGCCAGGTTCGACAGGCTGAAACCGAGGCGGGTTGCCAAGGACCTGCGGCGAGGGGACAGGATTTCAGAGTCCGTCGGTGACATGGCCCCACTGGGCAGTAGCTCTTCCATCGGTGGTGCTGGCGGTGCCTCGGGTATCTGCGCTTCCGGTGTCGGTGCCAGGCTGCTGCGACCAGACTTCTTCATCCAGCGGCTGAAGCTCTTCACCTTGCGGTCTCGATCCACTTGCCTGCGAAAGAGAGGAAAGCACAGAAACATTCAAGACGAACTCATATGGATGCCATAAGGAAAACAACTCACACAGATGGTCTAAAAATGTGCAAACAGGAAGCACGAAGGACATCTTCAGCTGTTTCTATAAGGACCTGTTATATCATATCTTCAGGCCCCCAGACTGTCACACATTACGCATGACACACACGTATTCGGTTTGATTCACAACTTCCCCTTTAACTTATTCACTCTGTAGTCTGTGCCCAGGGTGTCGCCCGCAAAACTTACCCAGAGCAGACCGTATTATGTGCAGATTTGGATGTATGTTCAGAGTGCGGACACTTCCAACAATGCTAGTTGAAATACATACCTACTATTGTGGACATTGAACTCCGGTGGAATGACAGGGGCCGGTGCCCTTAGCGCGTATACACACTCTAGTTCACGTGCACACTGTAAAAATGGACAAGCAGTGCTGACGGCTGCAAGGCCAGCGCCCCGTGGCCGCTAGGCTTCTCAATGGATTTCAATGTCCACTACAGCTAGTATGAGAGCTAGGCAAAGCTTACCGGTTATCATGTGCAACACTGCGTTATTACTACATTTTTGAAAAAGACCAAATTGAACACGCATGCTTACTTTGTTTCGAACATGGACTTGCGTTTGCGTACAAATCCCTTCGCCTGAGCCTTCGTCTGTACCTCATTGATGTCAACCTGGACAAGGGGAGACACATACGTGACCGATGAGCAGAACATAGCTGATCACAACCGTACTAGATCTCTTCTGTCTTCTACTGGGTGCCACCACTCATGCACAAAAAACAGTTTCCAATTTTATAAGATATTCCTGCATTTAAATGCTCCAAAACCTCAGAGGGCTAAAGGCAAGTTGATATTAACAACTAATAGAGAGGTTAAGATTCATGTTATTTCCGACGTGACGCGCAATTTCACGTCAAATTTGGCGTAAAACTCCAAATTTCGACGTGAGCAGCAGGTCACTCGCGTTGATTTTTCGACGTGCGAGCCAAATAACGCGAGCTGGACTTTCGCGTCACGTCAGAAATAACGTGCATCTTAACCTCTCTAATGTAAATCTCTCTCTTTCTCTCTCTCTCTCTCTCTCTCTCTCTCTCTCTCTCTCTCTCTCTCCCCCCCCCCCCCTGCTCCTCGCATAGAGAGAGGTTTCAGATCCGTCACATGACAATACGGACTAGCCATGTTGGCTCCAACTTCACTCAACCCTTGCGTTCATGGGTCACATGATGTCGGCCATGTTGGTTTCACCGTCCACATGACATGATCACGTTCTACACCCATTAGGTCATATGACACAGGTGTGGAACCCACTCTATATCAGAACTTGCATCGCTGCAGGGGTGGAGCTCACAGATGTGTGGTGTTTTTTTATTAATTTTTTTATCAATTTATCTATTTTTAACAAAGATCACATCTCGCAGGCAAAGAAACAAATTGCATAGTGGGAGCATAGTGATGGTGAGGCTTTTTGCCCTTAGCCGACCTGAAGTCTTGGCGTCACGGGGACGTGTGTGTGTGTGGTGACTATGCCCAGGCGCGTACGCAGGGTCACCTCTAGGGGGGTTTCTAACCGAATCGCAAACAATGACTCGTTTTAACCCTTTCTAAAGAGCCCTAGGAAATTTTCAAAATTATGCATTTTTTCGTGTTCTTTGGATCATAACTTCAGTTCTACTCACTCAATCTTCATTATCTTGGGCTTCCTGGAAGTGGAAAGGTACCAGGGAGAGAATGAGGTCGACCATGATAGCCAGGACACAGTACAGTCATGTACATATCCAGCGCTTTGGCTATTTATAGCGGTAGAGTGCAGCGACGGTGCGAAGAAATGCCCCAAAGGCCCAACCGCGTCCTGCTCCAGCGATTTCGTTTTTCTTGATCCCAGAGTTTCGAATTTTTGGCGGTGTTCTCTTGAAAATATCACAAGCGAAGCCCCTGCAAAATTGAGCAAGTCAATGCGACGAAAAGTCTCAAATTCTGGATACTCTAGTCGCACTGAGCGCTTTTGAAACTGCGAGATCACGGCTCAACTTACGAATGGTTTATCTCAAGAGACATTGCTCGCAGCGCGTCGAAAATTGTTTCAACCGACAGCTGAGAGTTTTCTATTCGACCTGGATATTTGGATCGTTGGATTTGAGCGAGATTTGACTGAGTTGCGATCTGTTGAAGTTTTGCATTCTTGCCAGATCTAGATCGATCGTACGCCCTACCAAAATGCCCAAAAACGTTGCTCGTTTGGAACATTTGGGGGGTTTCCGGGCAACGGGAAACCCCCCCTGCGTACGCGCCTGATGCTCCACTGGCAACCTCATAGCTGCATACTAATAGTTGCCCATTTGGACTATGAAGTACCTATGGCGGTCATTTGCTGGTGTGGTGGCCGGACTATGCTGACTACACACAAGCAACTAGCCTGTTGCTGAAGGCTAGCCTGGCCAGAGTACTGCAGAAATCATTTCTTACTTCTAACGTTATGTGTGGTCATGTGACCATTGGTACTGTAAGTCTACAATTTTCGCCACATTTAAATTTCAGCCTCCCAGGGCTAAAACACATTTCGTCCGCATCAAATGTTCGGCCTGTACTGCTGCCGCCTGTCCACACTGTTACACTGAACCTTGCAAAACTAAATTTCGGCCGCAACAAATTTTCGGCCAAACATGGCCAGGCCGAAATAGCCGACAATAAACAAGCGCCAAATATTTGTTGACCTACAGTAGTTGGATGTCATGTAAGATGGATGTACATACGGTCGTGGACAGGGAAATCCGGTCGGAGGTCAAGCGGCCCGAGGGCGAAGACCATGCAGCCTTGAGTACACATACGATACACACACGCAATGTTCTGTACGCACTGAGGGTGCTAGGCCTGGTCATTCGACCGTGTTTCCACGTCCACGGCAGTAGTTGTAATAATGCCTTAGTGGACTGAAGTCAACGAAAGTTTCTCCTTCTGCAAATCACTTACTGAGCCATCGGACATTCCACGTTTCCTCTGCAGTGAAATCATGCTTTCGTCGGCTAGACTAGCTGTTTCTGAGCCCGGCATGGATCCAATACCTGACTCGGGAATCGAGGAATCCAAGGAGACTGGCTCGCTTGCCGAGCGTTCCCTCTCCCCGCGCTCCGACTGCCGGCGCATGAGCTGCCCGATCTTTTTCAGCGTCTTGTTCTTGTCCTTGTTCTCCGCTTTCTTCTTCTCCTTTTTCGCCTTGCGCAGTTGTTTCTTCTCGGCCGAGGTGAGATCTCGATCCTCCTCCTCTTCGGCCTCGTCTTGTTCCAGCGCTGTTGCCTGCAGCAACTCGTCAGGTAATTCATCCAGGCCGTTTTCCAACATGCTGGCTGCGAAGTCCTCGGCCGAACCACCGCGTGGCAGCGACTTCTTCCACTTGCCGATACGTGATCGTTCCTTCTCCGCTTCGGCATCGATCTGGGCCTGCAGTGTGTTAGCCTGCTTGATAATGTTGAGAGCATAGCCTGTTATAAGCAGCACAGGACAAGACAAACAGCATAAAACCCCTAAGACATTCATCTCTCCACGTTTTCAGATTGTCAGCGAGGAGGTGGGGGGGGGGGGGGGGGCTGGCTGATTCCCCTTCAAGGGGGGGGGGGGGGGGGATGGCCGCATAGGTGTAGGATGGTTGGTGCATGTCATTCATGGCCTTTGTGTGCATGCTGAACCTAGGTCGAAAAGTTTCGCACACGGACACACTTGTACTAGTGCTCGCTTACTGCCAGAAGCTAGTCACGCGGGTCTCCCCGAAAACAAGGGAGAGAAATTCAAACGTGACTCAATTGGCTATTGAGCCACCCCATGACCGACACGCTCTGCAATCTCCAAACTCCGGATGGACTTGGAAGTGACCCCACTTATGGGCTCACAACACCACAGTCATTGGGTGAGGACAAGGTGCAGAAGAAAGATTGATGGGTTGTACTCACCTTCCTCAATCTCCAGTTCGCGCTTCTGTTCTCCTGCTGCCGCTCTTTCCAATTCCTTTTCCAATGCAACCTAGAAAGGTAGGTGAACAGACAGACAATGGATGGAGAGTTGGAGAGATGGACAAACGGGCAACTCAACATCATAACGCCAGTACAAGTACAGTTGTGCTGGGCGAGATCCGACCAAAAGTACATATCCTTCGCTTAACGCACACATCCGTTTTCCACAACATATTCGGATAGGCGAGGGAACCGGATAAACGAAAAAACATTATGAATGTATGCATGGCATATGCTGTAAATCGGTAACCAACGATTTTCTTCCAGACGGCGAGGGATCCGGCTAAAAGAGGACCGGATAAGCGAGGTTTGACTGTATACATGCACTGAGGTGAATGGGTAGTAGGTGTTGTGCATTCACAACCTTGTCCTTCAAGCTCCTACAGTCCATTTCAAAACTATAGACGCGTACCTAGGCAAAAACCGTTATGCCAGCATCTATACCACATAAAATCTGTGATCACTTTGTGCATAAATTTTTCCAAATTGGGCGTCTGTTATCCAATCCTTTAGAAACTATATGAGAGTACTTCAGTAATTGTGGAGCAATGCTGAGCAATATTTCGAAAACTATTCTCAAAAACTTCCAGCCAAATTTGAAATATTTCAAAAACCCTACGCGTCTATAATTTTGAAATGCACTGTAGCACATATACCTGCTTTGTACAATGGGTAGCAGGATTTGTTAGTTAGGCGAGCACGTCTCCAACACCACCACTGCCACCATCATAACCATTACCCAGAGACATGTTCCCATGCCAAAGCACACAGTCACTGTAAAAGAACTGCACGCAATGCCAGACATCATGATTATGGCATCGCTGGGAGTGCAGCTCATCTTTAACTATAGGTCACATGACAACATAGGGATGGGAGATGAGGTCATCACTTTAGCTGGTCATCCTTTGAATACCTCTCTGTACTGTAGACATACTGTAAGCTGCCCAATGCTCGCATTACCAAATTTTCACGATCTCTCAGAACCAGCAAGTTTGAGATGGCAAATGTTTGTGGACCACTAAGGCTGCAAACATGAGGTGGTGTACAGTACCTGTTCTTGTTGGCGGCGGAGTAAGTCCAATGCTCCTGGCTTGCTGGCTGCTTGCAGCGTGCTCTGCTCCTCTTCCAGCATGGCCTCATAGGCCTTGCGCTTCTCCTCGGCTTTTCTTTCCCTCTCCTCCAAAGCCTCGAATTCCTGTTGGTGTTTTGCCCGCTCACGCTCCACTTTTCGCTACAAGTCGGGGCGAACAAAAGGCAATGAAGAGAGGCGGACAAGCAAATTGTGTGATTAGCGGTGTTGTCATAATCCTGGGCCAAGTAATTTGTCTGTGGAAAGGATGCTGCTGCTGGTATCTGCAGTACCATACGAATATTCTCCACTAGTTGTACTTTAAATCCGGAACGACGTTTCACGAATCTTCATTATAATCAACTCGCAATAATTATGGCAACACTGGCCAACACTTAGAAGCACTGCTACTTAACACAGTCGAACGGTTATTTCTCAACGTTTCGGTCACTCTGGCCATCTTCAGGATGAAGTGGGCAAGGAAGCAAGGCAGACTTTAAACGAGCAAGCTTTATTGTTGTAAGTGCTCGGATGGTGAGCCAAGGAAAATATTACTGTAAAAGGAAACAAGTAAAATGGTCGGGCACAAGTTATGCGTTAGAGTCCACCAACTAAACCAGATTTTGAACAGTCAGACGTGCACAAGGTAGCACCACGGACTGACAAGGAGTACTGAGACATTCCACGGCAAGGAAGTGAGCTTGAGCACTGCCCGCTAGCGCTAGCCAACGGCCTTCCAGCTTGGAAGGTTCATGGATTTTAGTAATAAGTACAAAGAGGGAAAGGTAAGCGCCATCAATCCGAACGCAAGCTACATTCTTAGGCACAGTGGAATGCTGGCTTGGTACGATAACAGGTGCTGTCAGTCAGCCTGGTGGTACATGTACATTGTGCACGTCGGGCTGTTCAAAATCTGGTTTAGTTGGTGGACTCTCATGCATAACTTGTGCCCCACTGTTTTCCTTGCTTCCTTTTATTGTTGTACTTTATTGAAGGTAAAATCATATCTACCTGAACCAAACCGCTGTCAAGTATTCTTGCTGGCAATATTACTTCATGCAAATCCATTGAGTGCCCACAGTGGTGGGGGAGGAGGAAAGGGGGGGGGGGGGGGGGGGGCAGATTCAGAGATTTCCCACTAAAAATATAGTCAGAGATGGATGCCATGTTCATAGAGCTAAGGTTGATGAAAAAGCAGAGCAGGAATGAAAGAGGACAGCCAAGTAGCAGGAACAACAGGGTGAGTTAAAAGAACACCGGAGGATGTACCCAGTGTGCTGACAGTGCTCAACACCGCTGAGTTAAAAGAACACAACATATGCTGTGGTGTTGGAGCTAACCTGTTTAGCATGCTCCTGCATCTCGTTGAGGCGTGCTTGTCGTTTCTCCTCAGCCTCACCGTCCACCTCTTCGTCACCATCATCATTAAGCAGCGCTTCATCGCTTGTCGTCAACCCATCTATGGTGTCTTGTGATGCACCCAGCTCATCATCCGTGGTATCAATGCCACCACTCGCCATCCCGTAACCTGAACGTTCCACTTGTTCCAGGATCTGTGGTGTATAGTACAGCCAGCAACAAGGACGTATCCACCCATATGAACACATACACACACACAGCCACACACATATGTACACACATATACACACACACACACACACACACACACACACACACGTACATAACGGTCAGCGGTTGACCAAGTGGATCAAGGGTGAAAGCTTTGCATAAGGCATCATTATCATACTGCCATACAATGTTTGCTTGAATGCAAAACTCACTGTGTTGAAACGAGCACCCACCTTTTGACCAATATTTGGACGTTACACTCGTACACCAAGGACACACATTCAATACTTTTTTGTGCAATGAACAAACTCCTCTTCTAACACCAAAATTTGATGTTCTGGCCTGGTTCATCATCAGAGTACACAATGCGACTGAGCGCAAGTAAACAAGAAATGTAAAAGATAAAAGATAAACCAGTAGAAGTTAGAACAGTGAATGGTGAAGTCTAGCGTGTCACCTAAGGTGTAACCTAGGTGTTGAAAGTAAGAGAGCTGTTGAAAGGGAAGCAGACCGAAGTTCAGAGCTTTTCTCCCCATGCGTGGATGTTTGTGTGAAAATAATAAGATGTGGAGCTGGAGTCGTACATGTACGTGTGATGACGTATAATGAAGAAACATTATTGTGAAGTGTTATACAACACGGCGCTGCATCTATCACCCTGGTATGACCAGGTTTGGTGGTGACCTGACACGAGCGAAACGTCTCTAAGCTGATTGCATTGCTAAGCACAGCTGTGTAGCTAGTGGAATGCGGAGGTGCGAACTTTACTCCACTTTTATGATGGATTTTATTGTGCAGCAATCTAGCACACACATGTACATGCATGTAAAGTGCATGATTATAGTTCCCAAGTGCGACATTTTATAATATTATCTCGTTCAAATTCTATTACATGTACTAAATCAACACAGTGCACACTGTTTGCAGGAATCTCCAGTCACAGTCCCTGTCTACACCAAGACTCCTATCAAAACCGAACAGTGTATTCGATAAACACCATTTTCCATGCCTGCAGCACAGTACTATCGGCCGGCGAAGAACTGGGGGGGGGGATCAGCCCCCTAGCCTAGACCGTTCATATGTTCATGCATTACAGTCTATGCGCAGTTGAGTCAGCGTGTATGCATGGGTGTGCTGTGCTTGGTGAAATTCTAGCCTGGTCGTTCTCCGGCGCTCCGTTCTTCGGAGCCCGACAGTACGGTACATGTATACCGTTAGTGCACACATCTGCACTGTGAGGCTGACATAGGGCATCCAAAGCATGAGCTGAACTCAGGCAGGTGTGATACTAGCTTAACATCATGGTCACAGAGGATTCATGACGTAAAAACAGAGAGGTTGCGTACAAAGAAAGTGCGTTAGGTCTTGTCCGTCCGAGTTCGAGTAACGAAAGTTGCTACGAAGATTCGTCCAAACAAGACCGAAACGCAGCAGATCTACGAAACTATTTTTCATCACATGGAGTACTAACTCAGAAGTAGCGACAAACTCGGCCATTTGAAAATAATCTGAACCGTCCACTTTTCCACACTGCCCTCTTGGACCACATTCACAACACCACTCCATAGCAAGGAAGTCCGTTCTTGGGCAGATGTTCCATATCCTCCAGACAGCTGTTTCGCTCATTAAGAGCTCCCCAGCGGAGGTAGACAATGCATGAATAGTGGATACTGTATAGCAGGAAATTTTCGGACGGAAATATTTTCGGACACAGCCGAATTTCGACCTTTCGTACGGATTTTATTTTCGTACAGTGCTGCATGCTAAATGCACGTGTTCACAAGCAGTACCCATGTACAGTGTACATAAAGTCACATGAATAAATTTTAGTACGGAATTAATTTTAGTACAAAAAGGCGGTGTACGAAATCGTACGAAAACATATTCCGTCCGAAAATTTCCTGCTACACAGTAAAGGAATGGAGTACTAGAATACCGATATTTTGCAACTCCCTGTCCTTAATCTTCGCACCCGCGTCGACCTACTACAAAAAAGTTCACAAGTTGTCCGCAACCTCACGGTTTACGAATAGTCGTTAGCTTTTTCAATTAAATTTTTTTTTTTCGTTACAGTGCTACGGATTTTCGTTGTGCGCAACCTCTCGAATATACCAGTTATCAGGACTTGGTGAACTGACATCACGAGAATGCCCTACAAGAGAACAATCCCATTTAGGTATATTCAGCTCCAAGAATGATAATACCGGAGCAAAAGTTAGCATTTAGACATTCACCGTAAAAATGACTATTAGATGCACGTGCACCTCAACTCCTCTCTCGTTTGATATTTATATTGCTGTGCCAAGGACTTGTACTCACCGATATTCTTGCTCTTGGCTCGCGCTTCTCCAGCACGGCTCGTTTCAAGAACTCCACACATTCGCGATGGCCCCCACCCTGTGCCAGACTCAAGGGTGTGCTGCCTTCATCATCCAGTCTGTTCAGACTAATACCCTGCTCATGCAAGTACTTCAGCGACCTGTGATGGGATAACAGCAGAGAAGAGAATGAGCAGCAGCAGCAGCAGCAGCAGCAGCAGCAAGGCAAGTTGGCAATGGTGGAAAGAAATGCACACAGACACGATATTAGGGTGTGGAGTGCTTCCAAGTACATGTCACACCTTTGTTGTTTGCTACAGGCGTAGTTGAATGACATGTTAGTTTGAACGCTCTGGCATGGTATACAAGTAGTCTGGTGTTGGTATAGCTTGGCTGTACCAGTTCACAACTTGCACCGAGAATAAGCATACCCTATCTGTCCTTGCTCAGCCGCATCATGAGCCAGTGTAGCTCCGTAGTTATCCAGTTCTTCGCCGGTAGCGTCCGTACATTCCAGTAGCCATCGCAGCAGAGCAATGTGCCCTGAACAAATGCAGCAAAAAAAGGAGAAAAGAATAAAGTTTACCCAATCTATTTATAGGGTTGTGGTGGCTGGTCCGAAAATTTTGGAAATATGGAGCCCAAATCAGTGCATTCTCTTGATTTACTGGGCAAAGAATCGTGCAGTTAGTACAGTAGTGACTGTAGCGTGTCCGATGCCCCTGACCACGCAAAGCTTTCTTCTTAAAATTAATGTTCCCTATTTTCTACTCCAGTGCTGGCAAAGGGTGGTGAGGAAAGTAATGGGAACCTATCTCAATTGTGCCCCTGAAGTTTTCGACAACCTGGGCATTAGCAAGATGTCTGTCTCCAAACTTTCCTGAAATGGACATGGCAGTACGGTCACCTCTACTTATATAGGCAGGAGTGTCTTCTTGCTGTGTGAATCATTCAGCCACATGCCACATGTTCAACGTTATGACTAGATCATAATAATTATACCATAATTACGTCCTACATTATCACTACGCTGCACAGGTACACGTGATTACAGCTCAGCATGTTTGTGGTGTACGCTGCCCAAACCGTACACCCACACATGGTAGCACTTAAACCGTACACCCACACATGGTAGCACTTCTACTGTCTTGTATTCTTTGCTTTCGTTTCACCACAGAATTGTGTTTCCGGTACGCCCTGGAATCTAAGTGACAGAAGTGTCCCAATTGTACATTCAGGGGCGTCGGAAGGTATTTTAGTGTGGTACAGTCAGCCATCTGGAGTACAATTTACATCTTGGGAGAGTGGTGGCTGCGGCAACATTTTTGGAAATTTAGATCCCATATCAGTGTATTTTATTGATTTACAGGGTACCTGGGACAAAAAGTGGTACGGTGAATACCGTAGTGACCGTACCGTGTCCGACGCCCCTGATATTGAACACCAGGTCTACGTTATAATGATCAACTGCCTATCGATACCGTCTATTATTGTGCAAGTAGGTATTTGTATGATCTTTATGTGTGTTTGTAGCCAGGCCTGAGGGTGAAGGTATAATTATTATACTATGTGCGTAATCGACGGGTGTGTGCAAATGTACTGGTGATCTAAAGTCGGCCGGTACCTTGTGTTGCTGCGAAGTGTCCCGGCGTCGCACCGTCCGAGCTCCTCTGCTTCGCCGATTGGCCTGCATTGACGATAAGCCATTTCAGGCATGCCAAGTGGCCCTCCTGCGCAGCGGCGTGTACGCATCGCATGCCATCGCTCGCAGCCGTTTTCGGGTCCGACTTGCCGTCCTTGACCAGATAGCGTATACACTCGATGTTGCCCTCCTGAGCTGCGAAGTACAGTGGTGTTGCACCATTATTCGCCTGCATGTGCACTGTTTTCAGCTCGCCGGTCTTGGTCATTTCGTACCCAGTCAGGAACTGCAGGATTTTCAGGTGGTTTTTCGCTGCTGCAAAGTGCACTGGTGTAACGCCAGTGTTGGTGCGCGCATCGAGTGGAGCCTCCGCACCCTCCACCAGCCACACCACAGCCTCCATCTTCCCAGCCTGTACAGCCCAGTGAAGCGGCGTTGAGCCATTGTTGTCCCTGTCCAGCACGCTATTTTTCGAGTTGCCGACCAGGTATCGCAGGCATTCTAGCGAGCCCGTCGCTGCTGCGTCGTGCAGCGACGATGCACCATTCTGCGCACGTACCGACTCCACAACGTGTGCATGCTTCACCAAGCAGCGGATACAGTCGATTTGGTTGCGCCTGGCGGCCAGATGCAGAGCTGTTGCTCCGAAATCATCCGTTTCCAGAGCTTCCCAGCGGCCCCGCTTATCCAGCAAACCAGCTTTGTCCAACGTTTTCATCAAACAGTCGACATGACCGGCTAAAGATGCCTGGAGCTGCGGAAGCTTGGCACGATTACACACTGCGCACAGGGTTTTGTCCATGGCGGACGGAGGCGGGCCGGACTCGGCGACTCCACACCCGAGTGCACGGTTCTGCTACTCCGTGGCCAGCCACACTGCCAGGAGCGCGATCGTCCTTTCTCCTCCTACCGGCACACCTCACAGCCGTCGCCAATATTAGCACGAAGCATGAAGCAAATGCTGTAATTGTTTTCCAGGGTCAGGTGGAAAGGAAGGCAGGAGAAACGCTCTGCGTGTTGCAATGAAAGACAGGAGGCGTCAATCCATCATCGACAAAAACAACACTGTTCTATTCCGCATTCGTTCTACATACTCGAGGTCTTTGCAAGCCAAGCCTATAAGATGTGAAAGCAAAAACAGCTACCAAAGCTCGGGTGAACCTATAGGCACCACGAATCACAATGCCTGGACTCCGGTAAAGGTTGACCAAAGCAAACAGTAAATACTTTTCGTCAACCATACACACACCGGTGTTTTCAACTTTTCATGCTTTGATTTCGGCTGTGAAATTCCAGATGTCGGTCGCTGTCGTCTCGACTCTCGGACTGTTCTGTCATCACGTTCGCTTCAGACAGTGCAATCAGGTGTCCGTTGCCTTTCCGAAGGAACACCTCATACTCCAGAATGCGGACTGTGAACTGTGGTGGATCGGACATGAGTTGGAGCTAGCTAGCTCTGCATTATGCCATACCGAGGGTCAGACGTGATTTGGAGCTATGCAGTTGATTTGACATGTGCTGGAGCTAGCGTTATGCTGTGGATCAGCTACTACAACTGACAACTGTACTGTACTATGGATCGGCGATGAGAGTGAGAGGAGAGCTGTGTAGTTGACAGGTCAGCGGGGAGGGACCTGTTGGGTGGAGACTGAATGCCGTGCACACAATGGAAGAAGGACCAGGTGCTCGTGCAGTAGTACTCCTTGTACTCCTTGTACACCACTACTGGCACTAGACGTGCATGGCAGACTGATGTGAGTGCGTGTTGGGTGAATGCTGGTAGACTCTACCGGTACCATGTTATGCTGTTGTTGCTGAAAGAAGTGATGTGCCCGGATTATTACTGTTGACAGGTCTAAATGCAGGTATGGACCATCAGCGTGCCGAGGATAGGGTCTCACCAAGTAAAGCCAAGCATTTGCCAATGTAGCGTTGAGCGCTTGAATATGGGACTGTATGACAATCCGTGGATCTGTCAGTCAAGGGCAACGCCATCTACCAATGCTATTCAGCACGAATCATGCTAGCCTTCCGCTTGGATTCCACCACTCCTTGCTGTGAGGTAGCGAATGATTGTACGTGTGGGTAGTGCAGCATTTGCAACCCCGGCTCTCACACTTGACCAGCTCATAATGATACAGCAATGTGTTATCCACTACCATTGCCTGCAGCATTGGCAAACACAGTCTTGAAACATTAGTAACTGTTGACATACACTGTACATGCACATGTGACTGGGGATCACGGTATTCTGCATGCTGGTATACTATGTGTAGCGACATGTACATGCCAGATAGGAGATCATGATTGTCATTGACATTGGTACTCTGCTGCTGAGTCCTGACTGCATACATAGTCATTGTATCTATTGTACCGGATGCCATGATAGCACAGGAAACACCACATGCATGAATACCACAGAGTGTTGGGGTGCCGAATGCGGCCCTAGAAATGCAACCATTGCCATTGGCATTGAGGAGGCTGTGTAATGCCAGATACGGCTTTTCATTTTTCTATCCTGCAACCGGAACGCACCACATGCCATCACTGGGTATATACAATGTACATGTATATTCACTTTACGTTGTGCCCTGTTTAATGTGCCCTGTTTAATGTGCCCTGTTTAATGTGCCCTGTTTAATGTGCCCTGTTTAATGTGCCCTGTTTAATGTGCCCTGTTTAATGTGCCCTGTTTTACGGGCAAATGAAACTCATGAATTGTAACCCTTCAAAAATATTCAAGAAACACAACGAATATCACAATATAGCTCCATGTAGATCTTCATCATTGTTTGTCGTGAGCACTGTACCCATGGGCCCAGTGGGTCTACACGTCGTGTCACCCTGTTCCACAATGCACACGACTTTATGACCACATTGTGGTGTTATGTGTTGGACCGGCGACCCCCTGCTTGACCATGCGATCGCTTACAAATCCATTATACACACAGCATAGCCGTGTGCACATGAACTCTCTCCTGTCGACTGTTGTCTACATACGCGTGTGTGTGTGTGTGTGTGTGTGTGTGTGTGTGTGTGTGTGTGTGTGTGTGTGTGTGTGTGTCTTTGAAAGACAGCCGCACCGTACCTCAAAAAGTTATCACCTGGGCGTGATCGTAGGATCTTGGTTGACAGGGCCACTAGCTGATGTCGAGATCAATGAATAGTGGTGAGCTCTTTGACATGATCCATGCATAGCACTCACTCAGGCATTCTAAGCTTTCGAAAAACAAGTACATCAGCCAGGGAGTAGTACCCAAAGGCCAAAGGCCGAACATGACTCACTGATACATGACTCACTGATACAATATCTATACATGTACAAGCACTTGACTTGTATAGATATTGTAGTGCTACTAGTACTATTATTCATTGATCTCGACATCAGGTGGTGACCATGGTGACTAGTTGACCTCAACTTCTTTGTGACTATGACTACGAGTATGAGCTTTGCATTTGGACAATCACTGTTTCTGGTGATGTCACAGTGCCAGTATCATTTCGAACACAATTGTACACACAATGTTCGGTAATTATTGTTTCACATATAAAGAAGCATGCAGTGTGGTACCTATGAGGTACTATACACATTGCAATTTGGTCAGTACAATGGCGAGCAGTGCATGCGAGTATGCACTGACTCTCACCTCAAAGAAAGGCGATCAAAAACGATAAAAGACAGTGCTGGAATGTTACAGTAACATAATACAGGTGTTCTCATAAAGCGGGCGTGGAGATAACAAGGGACTGCAGCACACTGTACAGAGATAGAAAGTAGTCAGCGGCTATCAGAGTGCCACTGACCTACATCCTGAAGTACAATGTTCATGCATGTATGTAATAACCGGGCAATATTGAATTGAAGGCGGTCAATTGCCGAGATAAAGTGGATTGCACACCAGGAGAAAGAAGTGTCCATATTTCCCATGTCAAACTACCGGTAGTGCAAGAGGGGAAAGAAGTCGAAGGTTGTAGAATGCCACCACATAATGCAAGCCACCACAATATTTGTTGACTTTCTTGTGCTTTGCCATAATTATTGGTTCACTGGGAGCTAAAAGAGAGATCTCTGCTGCTCCTGCTGCTCGCGGATCTGATCTTCAATGAGCGATTCCCTGAGGCCGCCAGCCATACCGGCCAGGCCTCTCTCGTTTAGCATTGTCAACGGGCGGTCCCTTCCCGCAGCACGTCGCTGCTCATCTCTCTGCCGCACCCACCACTGGTGCAGGCCACTGCGGCGTAACCGGCCGCCCATACCGTCCTCCGACTTGCACTTCTGGAATAGAGATGACGGTAGCAGCAGGATCAGTGGTATAATAACCAGGATCAGCTCTACTCTGTCCAGCACCGTCTTGTCGTGGCCGAATGCAGTGAAGAGAAACTGCACGGTGCATATGAGACAGAGTAGGAGAGACAGCAAGCACTCCCAGGTGTTGTACGACAGTCTCATAACAGTTCCGGGTCGTAGTGGCCTGTGACAGGAGATAAAGCGAAGAGCAAAGGTGCAGAAAGAGGCATAAGAGAGAGAGAGAGAGAGAGAGAGAGAGAGAGAGAGAGAGAGAGAGAGAGAGAGAGAGAGAGAGAGAGAGAGAGAGAGAGAGAGAGAGGAGAAACAGAGAGAGGGGAGAGAGAGAGAGAGATAGATAAAGAGAGCGAGAGAAAGAGAGAGAGAGAGAGAGAGAGAGAGAGAGAGAGACAGAGATAGGGGAGGGGAGAGAGAGAGAGAGAGGCAGAATGACAGAGAATGTATTCCAGAAAACAGTAAAAGAAACAATCGTTGTAGAGCAATGTAACATGTGAAATTAAGGCAGGTATGGTCGAGGCCCGGCTGAAGCGTCATGCATGGCATTAGCTTGTGCAAGTCATGCATATGGATTTTTACAGTGCAAACAAGTATGATAATGGTCTGGATTCCACTTGAACTTACCATGCTAGGGCATGTGCCAGCAGCTGCAGCCAGAAGAAGCACACGGTCACTATGGTGAAGAGAAGTGGTTGGGAATGAGTGAACTCCACCAGGCAGACCAGTACGACGCGACGCAGCAGATTGAAAGCGGCCCAGTACCAGCGATCGTGTCGGTACAGACTGAACGCCTCGTCGATGAAGCCTCTGAGCATGCTGACGGAGCGGGCGCAGGGCAGTGCAAGAATGACCGGTATGGGTATCACCAGCAGTATGACTATCAGAATGGAGGTGGCAGCGTAGGGTGCATGCTCAGCACCAAAGTATGTAACCGAACTATCCAGCTGCAACACGAGCTGTCCATCCAGGGAGACAAACCAGAGGAAGGAGATGCTGACATACACAAGCATGAAGTAGCTATACACAAACACGAACCACATGACATGGACCAACATCAGATGGTGCTGCTGTCGCTGCAGGACTGCTGCCGTCTGCTTGTAGGAGCGTAGCAATCGAATGACAACAAAGACAAGAAGCATGGTCAGTGGCTGTACAAGCAGCAGAGCCTCGATTTGTAGGTGCTTCAAGTTCTCCTTCAAGCAGATGTGGCCCAGTCCGAATGTCAGCAAAGTCGGAAAGATTGTGGTCTTTTCCCCCAGCTGTGAATACGCCTGTTCAGAGTGAACATGTAGACCATAGGTACAGTCACAGACACACAAGCACATGTACACATGCACACATGTACACATGCACACAAGCACATGTACACATGCACACATGTACACATGCACACATGTACACATGCACACATGTACACATGCACACATGCACACATGTACACAAATGCATACACACACATGTGCACACACACACACATTAACTACAACACACAGCAACTTGCGACACGGGCAGTGCTGGCCAGCGGAATGAGAGGCTACGGAGAGAGAGATTCAGGGTCGGCCGGGGAGACACTGCCGGAGCAGAATCCACGAGAGTGAAGAGAGCCTAGACATGTCCGAGGGACGACGACCGAGGGGCTGGGCCCTGAGTAGCTGGAGATGAGCATGGCCAACACCCCTTTTATTCACTTTTATCAAAGTAAATGAGTGAGGAGAAATGGGAGGTTGGAGGGTGGAACACAACGAGCAGAACAGAATGATTCACACACAGTACGGATCGAAATTTATAGCGAGGTGAGCTCTAGCAAGTCACGTCGAGCAAACATCGAGCGAACGTCGCATGATGCCCACGTTGAGCGCCACATATAAATGCCATGGTGAATGCTACGTCGCATGTCGCCCACACATTGGATATCACGTTCAATGACACGTAGAGTGTGACGTCACCTAGAGTACCACGCATGCATGCACAACGTTGTTTGGCCGGCATGGTCACCGTAGACAGTAGCAAAGCATGAGCATACAGCAACAGCACTATCAAACATAGCAGCATAGCTTGAACGGTAGCACGAAGCTGCGTGCACCCATTAATCTGCATTATCACCATGATGCTACACTCACACATACACGCACACACGCAACGCGTACACACACACACGCACACACACGCACACACACACACACACACACACACACACACACACACACACACACACACACACACGCACACACGCACGCACATACACACGCACACATACACACAGCCACACACAGACACACACAGACACAGACACACACACAGACACACACACAGACACCAGAGTAAGCAAATTCACATTGCACATCATGTTCTAGTACCTGCAGGAAAAACAAACAGCTGTCAAGGAGAGGATTCAGGCCAATGTTGAAGTAGAAAAGAAGGAAAGCGCTCAGCAGGGTCAGTCCAGCCACAGATGGTACGTACACAGATAGAGAAATTTTTGTTGAGTTCCTGCAGTCCACGCATTCCTGCATAAAATCAAGAAACAGCAGATTTAATGCTCACGATCCTTGGATGATGTCATCCGCAAATGCAGAAAGGCTGTATGTTCAAGAACTCTTGATTTAGCAAGCAAGTTTGCGTAAACTGCAATGGGGTGAAAATTTGCTTTTTTGAGTTCCTGATACCACCATGATTAATTTGCAATACCAATAGGTATGCACAATATGCTAAACCAAAATCGGAGATGGCACCTGCTGAGAAACTTGTCTCCACAGGCACATATTCTGTCAGGGCACGAGTAACATGATGTCAGCCATATTGGTTTCATTTTCCACATTCCATTACCACTTTCCAAACAAAAATGGAGTCAAAATACGATTGTAAGGGACACAGTTCACCTAGGTGTTCCGTCTACGAACATTTCAGGACATGATTTTTCCTCTTTCTTGTAGCTCAGTGTAGCTTCCAATCCAAAATCCACTTCTCCAAGTTTTTCTTACCTACCCTCTCCAGAGCATACGGCATTCAGGTCGAGTTGAGAAATGAGCTAAGCTTTTACTGTGAAGTGAAGTCTGCCCCAGTTTAACCCTTTCACCGCTAAGGACATATATTTATGTCCTGAGTGTGCATCCCGCACTGATGAAAACTTTCGGGAAGCGCGTATGTTCAAACAATTGTAACTCAGCCAATTCTTACTCGAATTTCACAATCGAGGTATGAATGTCGAAGAAAAACATCTCATGGAAATTGTGGGCACAGGTTATGCGATCGAGCCCACCAACTAAACTAGATTTTGAACAGTCAGACGTGCACAATCTAGCACAAAACTGACAAGGAGTACTGAGACATTCCACGGCATGACAGTCAGCTTGAGCACTGCTCGGTAGCGCTAACCAACGGCCTTCCAACTTGGAAGGTTCATGGATATTAGTGCTTATTCCAAAGAGGGGAAGGCAAGCGCCATCGAGCCGAGCACAGCTACATTCCAAGGCTTCAGGGAGCAGTGCTCAAGCTGACTTTCATGTCGTGGAATATCTCAGTACTCCTTGTCAGTTTTGTGCTAGATTGCGCAGTGTGAAAACAACAAAAAAACTTACCATCTTTGCTACCTTCAACGACCAGCCGTCTTCACATTTGCTGCAGAGCGGCCCAGCCGAGTGAGCAGTGCATGCATTGTCAATGCCGTATCTCCATGCTCGGCGCACACACAGAGTGTTCCTGCATGGCACCACAACAAACGTAGCCGCGTCGCCATCGCGCCCTGTGCCGGCAGTGGTTAGCAGGCTGTCGATGCTGTCGTTGGTCGTGTTGGATAGCGAAATCAGCAGGTTCCTGTTGGCCTTGCCCTCTGTGTGGGGCTGGGAGCCCAGAAAACCGGCCCAGTATCCCTCCTTAATGGTCACCGCGTGATCATCATGGCATTTGGCTATGCCAGGCTGGCTGCTGCACTCACATACTTTCGTAGCTGCCTTGTTGGCATCCTGCAGAAACGAGAGAGCTTGGAAGCTCAGGGCCCTACGCTATACTTTTTTTGCCTTGATGACCTAGACAAAAAAAGCATAGGGATGTTATAAATTCTTATAAATTTCTACTTTTTGTTTTTAGACATAACCTGGGATTCGAACCCGCACTATCGCCCTGCATCCATCCCCCGATACACTTCGCATACATACTAATTCTTCCAAGTTGCTTCACGTTATGATCTTGTATTTGAAAGCCCTATTTGAATATGCATTGTAGCCAGCCGTCTTTGATTGTACGGTACGGTACGGGACAGGTACGGGACAGGTACGGGACAGGTACGGTCGAGGGTAATACGACACCATCTACCGCCTTGATGACGGCAAAAAAAGAATAGGGATGTTATAAATTTTTCAATTCTCCAATTTTTTTCAGGCGTTACCTGGGATTCGAACCCGCACTATCGCCCTACATGCATTCCCCCATACACTTCGCATTCATACTCATTCTTCCAAGTTGCTTCCCGTTATGATCTTGCGTTTGAAAGCCCTATTTGAATAGTGCGGCCAGCTGTATGTGGCCAGCTGTGTTTGATGGTACGGTACGGTAAGGGACAGATACGGGATAGCGCCAGGTGTGACACAAACACACAAACAAACAAACACCAAACGAGAGAACTTGGAAGCTCAGGGCCCTACGCTATGCTTTTTTGCCTTGATGACCTAGACAAAAAAAGCATAGGGATGTTATAAATTCTTATAAATTTCTACTTTTTGTTTTTAGACAAAACCTGGGATTCGAACCCGCACTATCGCCCTGCGTGCATTCCCCGATACACTTTGCATACATACTAATTCTTCCAAGTTGCTTCACATTATGATCTTGTATTTGAAAGCCCTATTTGAATATGCATTGTGGCCAGCCGTCTTTGATTGTACGGTACGGTACGGGACAGGTACGGGACAGGTACGATCGAGGGAAATACGACACCATCTACCGCCTTGATGACGGCAAAAAAAGAATAGGGATGTTATAAATTTTTCAATTCTCCTATTTTTTTCAGGCATTACCTGGGATTCGAACCCGCACTATCGCCCTACATGCATTCCCCCATACACTTCGCATTCATACTCAATCTTCCAATTTGATTTACGTTATGATTCTTGCGTTTGAAAGCCCTATTTGAATATTGCGGCCAGCTGTATGTGACTAGCTGTGTTTGATGGTACGGTACGGTACGGGGCAGATACGGGATAGCGCCAGGCGTGACACAAACACACAAACAAACAAACAAACACCAAATTAACGCTGTGTGGGCCCTGGCTAGCGCCAGACGTTACTGAAGTAACGTCTTCTGCATAGCTACGGGAATTAAAGCTGTGTGGACCCTGGCTAGCGCCAGACGTTACTGATGTAACGTCTTCTGCATACCTACGGGCATAACATAACAAATGTGTCATTCCTTAGACCAATAGTACTGCAAGTTCTCCCTCTGCCCTTGCATTTTTTACACATTCTGGCTACCTTTTCTCCGCTTCTTGACTGCTGACTTTGTTCACAATTCCTCACTTTCTCCCCTCCCCTCATCAACTGTTCATTCGTGTCGGTGCCTTGTTTTTGATCACATTCCCCTCTATCCTTTTTCAGAAAGTTACCGTATTTTCTCTAATAAGAGCCCGGGGCTCTTATTTTTTCAGTGACAGCTCTACCCGCGCTACTATTAGAGACTGGGCTATTATTGGAGACTGGGCTCTTATTTATTCACTTGTCAACTATCAAGCCAACTCCAGTCTATACAGGCATAAACTGACCATATCAAGACTGATTTTTCAACCCTAAACTCAGGAATATTGTCAAAACAGATGTTTCACAATAGCATTGGCGCCAGGAAGGAACCAGTAGACCGAAAACCTCTTTACAAATATGTCCTTGGCATGTAGTACTGCTGTTTTATATGTAGTCAATATACTTGTTGCATACTCCAATTGTGACCCGCACTACTATTAGAGACTGTGCTCTTATTACTTCAAACCACTCTCACCCCGGGTCATTATTGGAGACAGGGCTATTATTGGAGACCTGGGCTTTTATAAGAGAAAATACGGTAGGTTGGCGTGTTTCATTGAAAAGAAACTAGGAGCATGGGCAGATGACGGCCTACAGTATGTATGTGTGCACCGCATTCCCCCCGGATACAGATTACAAGTGCCTGCAAACTGGGACAGGTTACACACGTTTCTAGCTCCAAGTACACACAGGTCAGTCACCATCTCTGCTGTTGCTGGCTGTTGCCCGGACAGGGGTCGTGAGGTAACGAGGCTAGGGGGGCACAGTGTAATAGTGAGTAGCATACATACACCTATTACACTGTGCCCCCCTAGCTAAAATTCACGTCCACGGGAATGAACGAAATACCTAGGAAACAAACAAAAGAAAACAAACCAAATAATAAACTCAGTCCAGGACATAGTCAGCTAGTCGAGCAGGTGCAGTGCGAACACGGCCAGAACGACGAGAAACAGGAGAAGAAGTACGGACCGGATCAGACGACGGCGGCTGTAGCGGCGGAACGCAGCGTGGCAAATCATCATCGGACAGCGTAATCGGGTCAGGACGAGAAGGAGTAACGGCAGGCGGTTGACAGTCGGGGGGACGGGAAACGGCTTCAGGCGGACGAACAAACTTGCCACTGGCAGCATCATATCGGGTGAAACACTCAGACAGAGCAGGATCAGCATACGGAGCAAGAAGACTCTGAGGCTTGTAACAATCCGGCAACGGTCCAGCGGCAGAGGCACCAGGAGGACGAACAAAAACGGCCGGAGGAACATCAGCAGCTGACAACGGAACATCACGGGCAAGAGGCGGCGGACTCGGCGGAGGAGACGGCACATCGGTCACCACGCGGGACATAGCATCGGCATTCAGATGTTGGCGACCTGGACGGTGAACGACTCGGAATTCATATTCGGATAAACAGTCAAGCCAACGTGCTTTCCGTCCGCGGGGTTCCTTCAGGTTCCGGAGTGCAGTCAATGCAGTATTGTCCGTCCTGGCAACAAATGGTCGTGCTAACAAGTAGTGCCTGAAATACTCCGCAAAATAGACCAGAGCAAGGGCCTCACGATCGCTAGCATCGTAGTTGCGCTCAGCTTTCGTCAGTACACGGCTGCCGTACCCAATTGGTCGCTCAGTTCCATCCTGGATCTGGCTGAGGACTGCACCAATCGACACATTGCTCGCATCGGTGTCCAGAATGAATGCACCTGCTGAAGCTTCAAACTGGGGGTACGCCATCACCGGCGCACTGGCAAGCGAACGCTTCAGAGCCTGAAACGCCGCTTCACAAGCTTTCGACCACGCAAAGCGAGCATTCTTGCCTGTAAGAGCAGTCAGCGGAGCAGCACGCTGGGCGAACCCACGGATGAAGCGGCGATAATATCCAGCGAAGCCAAGGAACTCGCGGACAGCTGTGACAGATTTCGGAGTCTTCCAGTTCCTGACCGCGACGAGTTTGGCCTCATTCGGGGAGATGCCCTCCGCTGACACGCGGTGTCCTAGGAAA